ATACGAGTACACAGCTACGTATAACAGCTGCGACAACAGCAGCTCTAATTATGATGTGGACTTGAGAGCATGTGAAATTAGTCAGCGGAAAATCTGAGCATCTTGCCTCATCACCGAGCTGGATAGATATTCCTTATGAAGAGTAGCAGGCAGCAGCAGCAGTAGGAAAGATTCCAGGCAGTACAGCCTCAGACAACTACAAACCCTAGACCTCCTGACGCAACCACCACCGTGACTAGCAGTGCATCAGCCAGGCACAGCATTCAAAGAACGATCATCAACTTGACGGGATATATCACCATGAGGAGGAAATCCCTCATGATTTGAGCCGTACCTAGGCCCATTGTCCATAGCGGTATGATAATAAGAAGTCATATGGCCACCGTCTTGGTTATAATACTCCTCGTGATATGGGACCGGTCGGCCACTACCCAGGGAGTGACCGTAAGGGCGATGCGTTTGAACTTCCACATCCCACCGACCTTGGTAACCTCCAGGGTAAGGCGCAGTAGGAATGGGTTGCTCTCCCGAACAGTACAAGCCCGCGGGAGGAGGCTGCACGTACGCATGATGTGATTGGGTCGGCATGTTATATACGCCAGAGTGCTGATGACCTTCCACCATAGAGAAGTGACGATTGGCGTTCATCGGAAAAGTGGGAGAGTTATACTGCTGTTGTTGATATGCGATAGCCGGGCAGGTAGGCTGAGCAACCGGCATTGCCTGCCATGGTTGAACCATACCAGGAGCATCATGACTTGCATAACCCTCCGGATAGCAGTACTGCTGTGGGTATGAGGCGGTCTGATCCGAAGTAGGGGAGCATTGACCATAAGGAGGAGAACTCCCCTCCACAGCTGTACCAAACGGTGGAGCCGCCACACTGTAGTAGACACCGGAGTACATATGTGGAGAGTTATAGTAGCCATTCGACACTGCTCCTGGTGGTGGTTGAGGATACTGGGCTCTCTGGTCGACGGAGCAATACCCCTGTTCATAGTAAGGTGGGCCATAGTAAGACCCATACGGACCATCACACCTTCCACCAACATACTGCTGTTGTTGGGCATCATACACGACGTGACCAGTTGGAGGCTTTTCAGAGTATCCAGGAACCGACGGAGTACTCCCACTCTCGCTGCCCGCAAGAGTAGAAGCATCCCCACTGTTCTGCCAGCGTCCTTTGGAGTACCCATCGGAGTTGTATGTGTGCACGTTCGTACGAGAGGAGCTCCCAGACGATAAGGGAGATACCGAATCGGACGAATTCAATAGCCGCCAGGTCGGCCTGCCAGACCATCGAGGCTGTGGCAGCATCGGGGGTTTGAGCCTCTGGTACTGGGCGTAAGGATCGTTGGCCTGAGACGGCATTAAAGGGAGAGAAATACACACTTAAATGAGACCAAAGTGAGCTCTCCCAACATTGCCAACTTAAACGAAGCTATTGGGCTCGGGCAACCGCATAGAGACCGACAGCTAAGTCAACCTTCCCGTACTCACAAGCCGGTATCTGCGTGCAGCAACTTTGTACTGCAATATGCTTGGAGAGCAAATTGACGTAAAAAGCGCACGCCCGATACACTTATGGCGTCTTGAAATATGTCCCGTCGCACCGGGTGGGTACTCACCAACTTCTCGTGGTAGTTACTCCCTAGACTATTTCACCATGTACGTAGAGTCGCTCCGGTCGCCCTCAGGAGGTACGCTAGACGCGATCCTGGAAGGAGCGCGGAAGCGGACCTCCAGTTTGGGCACTGACACTGTGGTGAAGTCTCCCCTAACTCTAGGAGAGCATCAGGAGTTACTACAGTCATCAGAGCCAGAAGTTGATAAACGCCTTCCTACGCTCAGGCAGGTGAGTGTTCACGCTACGCCTCTCTCCAAATGCCGTTTCCGAATGCTCTCCTTGCGACCAATGCTATCCACGGTGATACACCCGGCGGACAATTCACCAAAATTGTCTTTCCATTGTTGATTTTCTAATCTAGTATAAATCGAGCCTGTTCAGGTCCACTATGGTTTCAACGTCATGTTGTCGTTATCGATCATCGGTTACATCTGCACGATATATCTGCACGACCGCGCCTTGCGGAACCAAATATTACCACACGTTCGAGAATTCGAAGACATTGCTGCGTCAGTGAATATCCTCAAGGCACGAGATGCTCAATTACAGCTCGAAATAGAAGTCGGACTCAACCCTTCTCAATGCATCTTCTATCGAAAATATCCTTTCAGAGAGATCAGCAAGAAGAAGCACGGCTCCGGGCGGCCCTCGAGGCGTTTGAGGTTGAGTACGAAGGCGCATTGCAGCCCCTTCGAGAACAAGAGGCTGCTCTACGGGCTGAACTGAAGGCTATGAAGAAGTACCACTCAGAGTAGCATAGGCTATCCGAATGCTGCATGACGTGCTGTCTTGGTTGTTATCGAACCCATTCGCCTTGTGTTCGTGAATGGTAGCCTATGGTTGAGTAGTAGTTATAATGATGATTAGTCCCCATTCTCCCTCAACACGGAGGGATGGCATTCGTCCTTCCGAAGCGTGCATGAAGGTGCATTTGTCAGTAAGAGACACTCATAGTTGCATGCGTCGGATGCTCACTAGTGTGAACAGATACAAAGCCTTATCACCACGATGGTCCTCTTGGTGTGTCTGATATGCTGTAAAGGTCTGGGCGATGGTCACCTGCTGGACCTCGAACGTCTACTGCATACTAGGATCATGGCCAAGCAAGATATGCGCATGATTGAGCATCAGCAGAGAATTCGGCTTTCGAGAACTCAGAACATTGCAAGGGTACACCTCTGGCAGCAATAGCATCTCCGACTGTACTTCTTAGGCACATCGAGACCGCGTGGTGAACTTGATGCATCGACTCGATATAGCGCCCAGACAATACAATGAAAGGAGAGAAAGAAGGCAGGCCCAGATCGACAAGTTGTGGGCTCAAATACAGCATTTTGAAGGTGTGCCTTGACGAAGACAAGAGGCGATAGACTATCATCAGGTGCCTCCGTGCAAAATTGAAGAATGTTGTTTACACGACCGATTGCAGCTGTTGTTGATGACAATGACAGTGTTGGGTTAAGTCAGTTGCATGATAGTATAAAGACGGTTATTCGCTCTTTAATCCCTTCACTCAAGAGTACCGCCGAGTCACCTTTGTGTACTCTATCGTGCTGTGGAGTCAGGACAGGTCGATCGAGTACGAACTCTCGTCTACCACGGGGCTCACGAGTGCCATGGACTCAACAACAATTTGTCGATAGAATGCTAACAGCGGACAGACGATCAATTTATACGCTAGGTAGAATCATGACGGAGGGATGACCGCCTCAATGGTGACCACCATCACCATTCATCACTGACAAACTTCCTACTCTAGGGAGTTTATCACTACTGTCAAGTGGTTGAGATATCTTTCCAGAACGATGCACTACACAGCGAAGGAGGACCCAGTATCACCTGACTGGACACATCAGTGGACCGACTGGGTTGTTGTGAGGGGGGCCCTTTTCTACAGTGTTCCCATGGTATGAACACAGCAGTAACGCACGTCCAAGACCATATCGCTTTTGTTCTTTCCGAACGTCCTCAAGGCTGTTACGTTCGGCCAACCGACTACACTCAATGTCGAATTAGACTATATAGTAGTAGATCGAGCAGCTCAGTAAGGAGGGACGAAAACTACTTTCATTCACGTGTCTCAAATAGCCCTCTCTCGGTCAGTCCTGTGTAGGAATAGTGATGATACCCCGTCAACTCTTCCTATGGGTCCTCCAGAAGAGCATCTCAATCAATCAATCTCCGCATATGTGATAAGAGTTGATGAAGAAATGAGTATCATTCCAGCGAGGGACGATCATCCTAATGAAGCCTCCTGTTCCCATAATTTCTGAACTGCTGCAACACAAGAACACACTAAACGGAAAGAAGCTATCTTCCCAGACGACCGTTATCATCCATCAGCCTCCATTCCAGCTATGAGTTACACTTTTCTAGAACAGACGGAACTGCTTCTTGGCGGTACCGAAGATCTGGTTCTTCTCGAGCTTCAACACGTTGAAACGCACAGTCTTGCTAAGAGGACGGCACTGACCGCAAGTCACAATATCACCTTCCTTGGCCTCGAAGCAGGGACTGAAAAAAACAATCTTATGATACCAACCGAATACCGCTCAGTTCGAGGAGCCAAAGTAGCGACTATGTTCCCTGCTGATACTACCTGCAATGCACGGCGGTGTTGCTGTGCCTCTTCTCGAAACGGTTATACTTCTTGATGTAATGAAGGTAATGACGACGAACGACAATAGTCCTCTCCATCTTGTTCGAGATCACCATACCGCGGAAGATACGACCACGGATGCTGACGTTGCCAGTGAAGGGGCACTTCTTATCGATGTAGGTTCCCTCGATGGCCTCCTTAGGGGTCTGGAAACCGAGTCCGACGTTCTTGAACCAGCGAAGACCCTTCTTCGACTTGAGGGCCCTCTTGTTTCCGAGGAAGACAGCGTCCTGCTTCTGGAAAGCCTTCTCGTGCTGAAATAAAAAACGAAAAAATCATCACAATTCGACCACTCAACAAGGCAACAACGACGGTAGAATACACGTAGAACTACAGCGATTTCACATTGACTAGGCCGATAGTCACACAAGCACATCACTAGTAACATCCGATAGAATTCAACGCCACCCGAATAGTACTTGATCAGCCATGATGAGGGGTGGATGGATGTCGATGAGGTCTAGGCAGGCTCGGGTAGCGAGTCGAACTCAAATCGATCACGTGATCGATTTGCGCGCGACCTCGAAATATATATCCAACTACCTTTTGTAGCGCGCGCGTTGCCGTTGGTGTTCGGCATGATACTATATACCCATAAGGGAACTCTTAACACAACAATGTAAGGTTCCAACGACATGAACTGTGATATGGATGAACACACATGCACGAGGGCGGCCTCCTCTACAGTCTCATTCGAGATGTTTCTGTAAGCAGTCACATGCCCAACTCAGGGGAGTCCGTAACGGATCGTGGAGTTGCTTTAATGAGGCCACGGTTTCTCAATGCCTTGCCTATAGCATGGACCTCGAAGCCTATTTTGATCAGACTGAAAGAAGAGTGTCTTCACTTCACGGCTGTCTTCTTTTACCTCCCATGATTCAGGATGTTGCGACCATCAAATATGAAGGCAGGTTTGATCATAGTATTGAAGTACTCCTCATAAGGAAGCTCCTTAAACCTGTACAGCCACTTGCCAAGGCCAGCAGACAAGTCTAACTTACATATCCCATTCAGTGAGCACAACAATAGCATGGGAGCCCTTCGCTGCACTAGCGGGGTCGATAGCTGACACGAACTGCTTGTCGAAGTCGAAAGACATATCATGATCGGAAAACTCCAGCAGTGCCTGATGGAAACATATTCCAGTGAACTCCCTATTCCTCCTTGATACCTGCTCTCGAGTAACCTGGGGGTCGTACACGTGCAGAATGGCACCATCGTGCATGAGCTGAGCGCACACCGACAAAGCTGCCGTCTCACGAGTGTCACCAGTGTCCTACAAAAAGGCTGATAGATGAACCCAATAGGTCAACACACTGACCTTCTTGAAGGCAAAGCCAAGGATACAGATCTTCTTTCCCTGCACTGTGTTGAACATCGAGTTAATTATCGTTTGGACCTGCCAGTGGGCACAACTGTGACGCTGTGGTTAAGGCCCCGTTGAAATATATGTTAGCTTCCCTCAGCTGAGCTCTGAAGTTTCCTCACTAATTATAGGAGATCACATCAATTCAGTAGAAGTGTCAGAAACCAATAAGAATTATTCATATTGTCACTAATCACATGTAGTTGACCATGTGCATAATTTCCCCCCACACTCACAAAATGGGTTTTCTGCAAATCGTTCATCTCGACTACTTGTCGCCAGTAGTTCGCCACTTCAGGGAGGTTAAACTGTTCACAGAGGTACCTATCTCAACGGCAGCCATTCGGACGCCACATCCTATGCTGTTTACACCAAGTTGAGGATGTCTTTTTGGAAGCACGATCCACCAAAGCCGACAGAGGCGCTGAGGAACTTAGGACCGATGCGAGAGTCAGTGCCTGCTCGTGTTATCAAGGAGTAGCCAAACTCGAGAACGCCGACCTATGGCATGTGCGACTTCATTCACATCAGCCCCTGTCTTTTCACACAACATCGAAATGGCGTTAATACCTGCGTTACGGGGCCCTATAAAGAACTTACTCCCACAGGCGTCGCACTAGAAACCCTTTGAGCCAAGAAGGCGTTGGCCACTAGTTTGGAGAGCTCGCTGGACCACAGGTTAGTAGTAATGATGCGCTCACGAGGCACCCAACTGGCGTAGACTCCAACAACCACGTCGATAGCAAAGCGACCGTCACTATTCTGGGGTCCTCCAATGAGAACCTTAGCAGCCATCAATGACTCTCGCCGGCTCATGCCAGTCTTATTACCCTATCAGGATTCGCCAGGTCCGCCATAGCCGTGCCTTCAGCCAGGAACTCAGGATTGCTAAGAATAACGTATTTCTGAGATGTGCCTTGGCCATCCAAGACCCTCTGTAGGGCAGCGGCCGTCCTCACCGGCACCTGAGCCATGAAGTCAAGGTTGCGCCCTCAGTGCTGGCCACTCACAGTGCTCTTCTCAATGATGATCTTAGGGCCTCTCGCATGAGCCGCTATTGTTCGGCCCGCTCCCTCCCACGGCGCCAGATTAGCAGCCCGCCCTGCTCCTTGACCGTGTTTCCTGTCCATAGCAGTGACCCCAGCTACATACACTGCGAGTACTACTTGGTCGGAGTGTTCACCGACACGAATATGATATCACAATCAGCAACAGCAGAGGCGACGTTGGTCGAGAAGTGCAGGTTACGACCGCGGCATTCCTTCACGATCTGACAACAGCATCATCCCTCAATACACATTACTTCACGACTAAAGAAATTTTTAAGGCCGAGAAAAATTTTCACTGTAAAAATGGAAAAAATTTTAGATCTTGGTTTTTTGGTCTTGCGTGCTCAGGAGAAGACCTCAGCGAGTCCCGGTTCGTATATAGGCAGCTCGTCCGAGTTCCATGCAGCAATGCGCTCTTCCGATAAGTCCACGACACAGACCTAACACCAGAGTGTATGCCGAGGTGAGTAGTAACAGATTACTTGTATATGTGGGCATTTGTACGCTATCATAGCCATCGTAGGACCCCCAACATATCCAGCACCAATACAGCAGACACGCGTAGTGCATATGTTGCGAATCGGCGAGTTCCTACATATCATCTCCATTCTCGACAGACAACAACGATCCTACCCCAAGTTCAGATTAACCTCGGGAACCCTCGTCATAGTTCTAATAGGAACGAGATAGCTGCCCTCGGGTGTAATGCATTGACGAACCCAAGAACAGAGCGTGAATATTGAAACGCCTTGGTTAATCCCGAATCGCAGCGTTTCCAATAGAAGACCATGTGCACTAATCACATAGCATATAGAGTCTATGATAGTCCAAGAGCCTCGACCATTCCCCTACTGTCCTACAGCCGACCCATGCACTCCCTCCTCAATATGATTTCGCCTGAACACACAAGTGAACAAATTTCACTCACGGTTTCGACCTACCATAAGCAGCTACTGAGCTGTTTCTGATGCCGGACGTTGGCTTCGGGCTTAGCCAGAGTGAGGGCTCCCGGGGGATACCAGTCGGCTAGCATTTCATAAGCTCTACGTAGAGCGTGGATAGCGATGGGCTGAACAGGAGCGCTGCAACAGGCTGGAGTGAGTGGGACACGTTTTACATTGTGAACCAGAAGGTTGCCTATCGGATCTTGGAATGCCGCGGGAGGTACGAGCAACGGCGCAGATCGCGGGGTTGAGCGAGCGGAACTAGGAGGGCAGCGGACACCTGACAACCCGTGCATTCATTTCCCGCGGAGGTTCGATCCCCACAGCCTACTTCCATCACAGCTGGTCTCAAGCATATAACTGTCGTCATTACTACACATGCTGTCCGCATCTAGCCTTCCCCGTGCCATCCTCAACAACACGTCTAACGCGCTATAACGATTCCGAGCCGTTGACAACAAAGGCGTTATGGATGTAGAATCTGCGGAGAGGCAAACTACTACTGCCAGTGTGGGGAAAAGGTGCGCATAGTCGGCTACATGCGTTGGTGACCGAATGTGAAAATTCTGAGCGGAAACTTCCAAAAAATATTGTTATTCATACGAATTCGGGTAGAAGTGTACATAAATCAATAAACACTTTCCAAAATTTTCATATCGCCACCAACACATGTAGCCGACCATGTAGATATTCTTATTTCGTGGCGACTATTACTCTTCCCCTGAGAATCTCTGAACTTGTGAGCGTGGACCTCAGCTACTATCCAACTTCTAGGTATCTACCGGGACGAATTCGTTACAGCGACTGCTATAGAGCGTAGCCCATGATATTACAAAATTACGGTATGTCTCCTCGGCCAAGTACACGGGACCATCACCACATGCATAATTCACTGCTGCCATAAAGATATGGGCCTCGCCGGAGCTTCGGAAGTAACACAAAAGTTTACCCGCAATCTGGGGTTCCGGAGGAATATACACCGACTACAACGACCATCTGAACGCTGATGCGCATACTTGTTTTCTACCCTAGAGAATCGGCTGATGACCGCATAGACCTGCTCACGCGTCGACTCAGGCGGTAGATTCTTGAGACAGACCACCACCGTCACTTTAGTGTCCGAGATATGACCATTCGTGGTAGTAAAGGGCAACATGCCTTCATAGGAGTATATCTGGACACATCTACGGACCACTCTGGCTGAGCCCATTCCCCACCTGACGCCCTTTAATAGTGTGAAGTTTACGTCTGTTTGAGGCCAGTGTGGCTATGACCTGTCGTGCAGGTGAGCACCGGCCTTGGAGCGAGAGCTCACCTGCCCATCACGAGCATTGCCGCGGGTCCCGACTACTACCGGCCGACTCTGGTGCATGCCCGCTACGGCCAATAATGCACCTTCCCTGTGGGTGAAAACGCAAACCAGTGAACCCGCAGGGTCGCACAATTCCACCTAGATGGGGACATCCACACACACGACGAGCTGCTACGACTTATACCTTTTCTATCGAGCCATAGGTGGTCAACCAATTCGAATAGAACTTGGCAACAGCTGCCATCTCAGCAGGGCTCAGATCGTACCCTGTCGTGTTAGGCGGCATAGGCATGTTGGTGAGCAGGACCGTACGGCTGAGCTCCTCCACCTCTGGGAATGACAATAATGTCTGCGGCGCCTTGGCCATTGGTGTGAAGTCGGTGGCCATCAGCACGACCGACCGAGGATGCCGTCTAGCCTGGGAGGCTTTTCGCCTGATGCCACTCTTACGAGGGTAATGCTGCTGAGGTGGGAGGTGTAGCCGATTGGATTCATCACAATGAAATTGAAATTGAGAAGTCATATGGTACTACCAGAGATATCTTTAACGCCAAAATACGCAACAGTACCATAAATCCTCGAAAATGCTGCAAATAGCAGAAAGAACTATTAAACTCTATCAGTTGCACCTGGGAGGGAGTCTACGACCCATCGACCTCCTCCACGACCTTTGCGATGTCAGCCACGATCACTTCCCTGCGGACGGTGGTCTCGTCTCTACCCATGTGGTTATAGTAGAGCCACAGCCTCTTCAATCGCCACCCGCAGGGACGCCGGCTAAAGTCCGGAACATAACACGCCCGAGTCGGGGTGAGGCTAGGAAACGGATGGGCTTGAATATTTGACCACAACCGTCTGTACTCTCTTCCATTGAAGGCCACTACCATTGCCGACCAAGTTCCGTCTATACCAGCGCACTCGAACCTCCCACTGCCTGACGACCGCATCCAGCCGCACCTATTCAGCGCCGCCTGACTCCCCTACTACCTTTGCGGCCTCTACTTGCTCCTCCTCTCCCGATCTGGATAGGACCATATGGCGAACTACGATCGTCTGAACATATGCTGGCCAGCAATCCCTGTATTGCTGAGGTGTTTAGAAAGTCCACAGGTCGACCGTACCGCCCTCCGTCGAACAATGCTCTCATGCCGTCAGCATGGGAGTGGCAGTGTCGAGCGACCAAGCATACTATACGAGGATACATTACAAGGGAAAGTGACTATGCAGTGGTGGTCTAATAGGGGGTCTCACTAGTTCACCGGCAGAGCTCATACCCAACAATAACATCACTACATAGGCTTGTAAGTTGCTCGACCACAGCTGGGACCTTGCAGACTTCCACAGACAATGACCGCACGCACTGACCGAACTTCTTGCTCTCAGCACGGCCATCGACGTCGAGGAACATATAGTAGTCCACGGAGGCTAATGCCTTCGTGATGGTAAATGACCAGCCTTGCACACCCACACTGTATGCAAGGCACTACACGAGATGGAGCCGGGCATTCTCTTTCCGGTCAGCTACACATCTTCCTCAATACTGCTTCGCAATATGAGAGGTCTCACCCAGGTGCCTAGTGGCGGCTAGCATTCTATAGCACAGTAATCACCTGTCTGCAACGCGAGCTTGCGAGTCCCATCAGCGATGAACCAAAATGCTTTTTCTTGCATCTCGTGCAGTTAGGTCAAACTAAATAACTCATTTTGGCAATTTCACGTCGACAATCCTTTCCTCTGTGCGGGTGATGGGTTTTTGGTGTAACAACTCATAGCTCGAGCCTTCATGGCCTCACTTCAGACGATCCTGTGTAAGTCACTGTCAATAGGAGTATCAAACAGAATGGGATTGATTCGGTCCTTCTCACACACGCAACACAGCTTGTTCGCGTGAACGAATCGTTCCTTGTCACGGCACGTTCGAGTTAGGCTACGTCAATGACATCAACGCAATGTGGTCATCCAATAAACGTCGAGCGGCTCTGACAAATCCTCTTATTGTCTAATATTAAGCGAGAGTGCCAATCTTCGGAACATCCGTAATGACGAAAAAATCGTGACGCAAGCGGTTTTAGAGTGGTTCTTTGCGTGAACATGTCTGCCGATCTCCTGACAATGTACGCGAACCCATCGTTCTGCGCTTCGGAATTCACACATGGTTTATTCCGAATCAAGCCGTGAAGAGCCTCTCCCAACGCGAGGTCGAGCAAGGACGACTGCCATGCAAGCATCACTGGTGCTGCCACAGCACGTCGGTGTGACATCGTCACTTACAGTGTCACTTCAGTGACGCGAATCAGAGCTATTCTCTGACATGCCAGTACGGTGAACTCTGTGCTGCATACATTCTCGACGGTCTCTCTCCCTCCTCACTATCGCTGGTTGACTCCCTCACGGCCCTATAGGCACTCTAGGCCAGGGATAAGACCGACCTCCTTTAAAGAGTACGAGGTCGTCTATCACGTCCCCTTGGGGCTGATCATTGATCAGCTCGACACTGCGGTGTCACGTCAATGCCGAAGGTTTACTGAGCATTCCTGAGAGCGGCCCGGCTTCTGACTTTCCTCCTGGCCTGCAATTAGGCCGGTCTGCGGTAGTTCGCACCATGATCTGCCATTCTCCACATGCTGTGCTTGTTGTGTTCCTTTCTGGTTTCCTTGAGCTATGTCTCCAGGATTTCCCAACGATACGTTCGACCATGGGAAGCCTCCTCAGGCCAACTCGCACTGTTGAGCCGCAGGACAGCCCAGATCGGTCCCACTGTCGGCAGCAACGGGGTCAGAACCTTTGTCCTTTACTTGAGTAACTCACAGGGCTGTATGACATCACCATAGGCTACCGTCAGCAACCACTATCAACGTCCTTATTGCCTTTTGAGTCTCCTGGGCATGCAATCTATAGCCAATATGGAGGAACTCGTGAAGCAATATGCTGGACAGGTTCCCATTCCTTCAGCCTGATATGGACGAGAAAGACTAATATGCTATGCACAGCTATGGTAATCATGCATGGCAGCGATTCGAGGAATCAATTTTCCAGGTTCTAACCGTCGTACGCACTTCGACGTATATGTGCCTTCGTGAATCTATCTTTCCTATCACTGCTCTTGTCAGCTAATTTTTGGAGTGGCTTGCTTGCTTTTGCGTGATGCGAGATGCTCATAATTGATATCTATTAGCCATATGTTCCAACCGCTGCTTCCTCCAATGTCTTACACCGCCGGGAACGCTCCTTCCGGTGGTAGGAGGTACACCACCAGCGGTGCATCGCCGGCACAGTACCACTCATCAAGGCAACTACTCCCCAAATCGCGGGTCCAGAGAGCGGTTCCTGGTGACGGGAGCGAAGGCTTGGGAAGCGGTATAAGGCAACAGTTGTATAAAACCAAAGTGAGAGTCATCAGAACTTTATGCAAACAAGAATACATTGCATGGTTTCAGTTTTGCCGTCACTTTATTCGAGGAAGCTGCAAGTATGGTGAAGATTGTACCTATGCTCATTCTATAGAGGAGCTCGCCGCACGTCCAAACTTCTACAAGACTAAGATCTGTACGAGGCCCAACTGCAACGACCCTGACTGCCAATATGCTCATTCTATATATGAGCTACAAGACTTCTATGCTAAGGAGGCTGATAGGATCTGTCCAAGTTTTCTTGCGGGTCAATGCAATGACAGTTCGTGCCCGATGTCTCACAATCGTACCCAGGCGAGCGAGATGATGTTGGCTCAGTGCTTCAATTTGATGAAGTCTAATACAGACCGAACAGTTGCAGCACCACAGCATTCTTCTCCTAGCCTTCAAGTGGTCTCCTCTGCAGAGTCTAGCAGTTCGCATAGCGATCCTCGTTCTGCCGTGAACCCGCTTGCCCAAGATACTTCTTTAGAATCCTTGTTGAGCTCATTCCCTTCGCTTTCTGGGTATGAATATCGCTCTCGATACGATGTTTAACACCATTCCGTGATCAGGTGTCTCAATCATTTTCCCCATAAAATTGGTTAGTTAGATTGTGATATTTGGTACTGGATTCTTATGATCTTCTGTCTACGACCTAAATATACTTTTCGTAACATTTCATATTATCAACGTGGCCGCTTCCGTTGCCACGCAGGCGAGCGTTGGAGAATATTACTGCTCGTCACTCTTTCATGCGCGTAAACTTAGTATTACGCTCGAGGCATTTTATATTGGCTATAAAGTATAGCGAGTGACTGTAGGTTGAAGCTCTATCTCGTTAACGACCCTCTACAGAAGTTTACACCCAGAAGGCAGTAGAACTATCAAGCCGTGGTTGGGCTGTCTCTTTGTCTACACTGCTGTAACTCCCAACAACTTTTGCTCCATATGGTCAATTATTTTCTAAAATGTATGTAAGTTTCCACCTGAATTTCAGCGAGCTAGGTTGAGATTCGACGGATACTCACTACAAGGGGGCCTATTCTGACAAAGTTTTCTCCCTCTGGAGATCATTGCGTTACAAGGTCAATCACGGTTCAAAAGCACATAAGAGTGATAATCACTCAGTGATTCCAGCTGAGTCTTGCGCTAAAGCAGATATGAGAAAACTATCGAGTATCAGTCTCACGCGTCTTTAACCCTCGTAATCAGATCGGATTCGGATGTGTTAACAACAAGTCGTTGTCTGCTGACATGGCCCCACAACCGACTCGTAAACAATTATGATAATCAACGATAATTCAATCATCGCTGAGTAATTAGCCATTCCTGGTGAGTTTTCCCGGGTTGATTCGAATTAAGCCGCAGGCTTCACTTCCTGGTGGTGCCCTTCTGTCAATTCCTTCCAAGTTTCGGCCTTGCGACCATACTCGCACCGGAACCCGAAGACTTTGATTTCTCACGAAGTTCTGAGGGCGTCTAAAATTAATGACTCTCAGGGGTGATGAGATCCCGGCAAGGTGATAGCCTGGCCGATACGCCGTGTATCGGCCACGTTGGTATCGTTAGGAGAGCGCCTCAACTTGGGTCGAAAGGTGCTTCGAAGAAGTAGCACGTTGAGATTCTCCTTCTCACTGAACAACTGTCATATGGAGAACCCACTCTAACAACTCACAGAGCGTAAACGTCAGAAACAGCAGTCGAGGGACAAATGCATTATGCTAGATCACACAGGTGACATGCCAACTTGGTCAAATATTTCGGAGGGGTCCGATTGACGTGAACTAATGGTCGCAGTATATTGATTCGTAAGGGAGAACACTGTAAGAAGCCTTCATCTACAGTGAGACAGCCTGAGTAACCATGATCAAATGCATCTTATGATTACAACGGAACTCATCACCAGCATAATGAGCCGCAGCTGAAGGCACGACTACTCCACGGCATTTAAGGGCTAGTGAGAGTGCTTCACGCCGAAGCGAGCGACTGGCAGCTGTTATACCCACGAGCTTCCACAAGCCCTCAGGAGGGAAATCGCTAAGAGGGTTGGGGAAGATCACTCTTTGAGATGGTCGGAGGACCCACAGGTTCACCAATGCATTCGCCGTATGCCGAGTAACTGAGCTCCAATGTGTGACGTAGAAGAGTCGTCTGACTCACTCGGTCGTGAAAGTAGACTCTGTTGGACACTCCTAGAGACATATGCTGGGAGACGCAGCTTCGCCTTGGCCATCGCCCAGAGTGCTAAGCTCTAAAACGTTGACAGTGGACACGCATGCCTTTGCCTGTCGGAGGAGACCAACCTGCGTCTCAGCCGAGAGGTGTGGCAATTCGTCCATGACCGACACGCTCATTTGTTGCACTCCGTCTGAGCAACCTCTCCATGCAAAAGACCACATTATCGACACCAAGTTGGCTGTCTCTGTAGAGAACAGTGGTAGCTGATACTTCTCAAAGCGGAGATCCACCTTTCCCGTCTGGTCTCGGACTTCCAGCTATTATAATATTCAAACGTTGCCAAATACTGTCGAACACACTGAAAGGCAATTCAAGGCGACTACGGTCAGACACGTTACAGACCTGTCAGCAAAGGTCCCTTCCACTTTAGCCAATGCAAACGCTAAAACACCGAGATCATGGAGGCTCATCGTGGATGGCGCACTCGAGGAGCTGATCGCTTGAATGTTGCACCACGATGGCCACTGAAAAAATACATGTCGAGAGCTGACGAATTATAGTCTACAGTATTCCCAGCCAATTTGTGGATAGCCCATACGAAATTGGCCATCTCCGCTCCGCTGAAATCGTCCAAGGAGACCCAAAGCAGCGGGTTGACGCTAGAGGTGGACTTCAATATAATGGAATGTATTTCGCATTTGGCACATGCCCAGAATATGCGGCTCAGCTGGCCAGGAGTGAAGTCTCGCCATTCTCGACGGTTACATTCCTCGACGAGGATCTCCAATACGTGTGTAGGGGACAAATCAGTCGGTCTGGCTGAACCACGACCTGACGAGAAGCCATCAGTCTTCGGAGTGGCGAGTCCGAGGGAAGCAATCAGCCCATGCGAAGCAATGTACCTAAGCCTGCCAGCTCAAACTCAACGGCAGAAGCTGTAGAGATGTCGCTCAGTGTCGTTGAGGTAAGTCTCTGAAATTCCTAAGAGCAAATACGGCAGGCTCGGTCAGGGAGCCTGACGCTGAACCAGCCCAACCAGTCGGTTCTGCTGGATCATCGTCACGAGCAGCCGGAAGACCTCCCGGCCATACCCGCGTGTCTTCAACAGAGCAGAGCAGATTTCCAAGGTCTGCTGTGGACCACAAGGGCCTTCCTGACCGAAGGTGATGAGGGTCAATATCGATTAGAAGCCGGCTGTCCGATACCTCGAGAGACTTGAGAGTTGCTTGCACCAAGGCTTGTGGCAACACATAGGTGGCACCAGTCTTCCCAAGAGCGTTCAAGAGGCGTTGCTCTGGCAAGAGGGTTTGTTGACTTTCCAATCCAGCCACACTCTCAGCTGCTGCTGCCACCTCTGCCGAAGGGATCAGCCCATAGCACCGTACCACCAATGCCATGACGTCCACCTTGCCTGAGGTCGGGAATCGCGATAAACCGTACGTATGGCACCTCTCACTCACTTCTACGAGGAGTGTCATCAGCGACCTCTTGCACAAGCGCCAAGGTCCTTCCCCATATCGCAGTCATAAGCCTGCTAGCTGATATACAACGAATAAGCTCAGACACGTCTTCCATACCGCGACACTCCATTGTTTTCGTTCGCTGCTGTCGGTGGCAACGCCCGGATGATATCACTGACCTCCCTAGCGTTCATAAGGGGGACCAGTCTCCTCAGGTGAGGTGCCAACTTCTCGATATTCAACCAGATTGGCAACTGTGCCAGAGATATCGACCAACCGGTCCGCGCTGGGTGCTACCTTGCCGTTGTACAGCTGTAGAGCACCATGAATAAGGCGTGCCATCGATTTCTCATTAAGGCTGCTGAAGTCCATCGACATAAACGGGTGTGATGCATCAATAGTGATGTCAGTGAGCTGCTCAACTCCGACGCGAGCACACGCCCAGACGACGCTGCTGAGGGCAGGAGCCGTGACACCGACCCACGACCCAGCCTCGCAATAGGAGACCAGCCGAGCCATGAGCGCTCGATTTGCAGAGATGGTTATACGGCCTGAGAGGCAACCCTTAGCAGTGCTGCTCCCAGACGGACGTTTCTATTGGCCTCCCCTGTCTCACCGGCATCTGAGGCCATACCCATCGAGAGTAGAAGAGATGCTAGCTGGACTGGGGCCATGCTGGACAGAATCTATACGAGAAATGAATTCACAGGAACCGCAATGTTGATTAGTGCTCGTCAGTTCGACAGAGTCAGAGCGGACGAGCCCCCCCAGCCTCCTTACGAGCCGTTCACTATCGACAGCTTCATGCACTGCCTTGAGCATCTGGGCTCGCGTGCTACGAATCCTCGCCAACGACCAACACAGCTCTTCGACGCAAGCTTCATAATTATGAGATCCACCGGTCGCCTGACCACACTTCGTTCACTTCTACCAAGTAGTGGGAGCTCACTCACCCAAGAGTCGTTCCTAATGGTCAGCAGAGCCGCTTCGATGGCCCATGATGGAGCCTGGCAGCCTCTCTCCAGTTTCACACAAGCCCGCAGGATTTGGCATACATCTCGAGGATTGCTTTCATCTATGGTCAGCGACGAGACTTGCTCCATGACGGCCTCGACAGCACTCTGCGACCAAGCTGACTTGTCCAGGGCCAAGGCCTCTAGATAGAGTGCAGCGCTACGGCTTGTGAACGTGAACGTATTCGCCTGGGCTCACAAACATGTGTCACCGATGCATGACTTTCCTACAGTTGTCAGTTTATATAGATGGACATAGAAGTCTTCATCTCGATGCTTCAACCGTGCCGCTGCCCAGACAACTTGACTCAAGCCCTCCACAGAGAACCTACCGCAGGCACCTCAACGCAGTGTTGCAGTCACGACCCTACTCCATCTCGAGTGATAGCAATGCTGCATTAAACAAGCCTCTCAGCTTGAATGCATTCCTGCACCGTTCATCAGCCGCTTTGGCCACATTGACAAGTCGAGCAATGGCGACGGGTAGCCGTGGCTTCATATAAGTTTCACTCTCGCAACCTTTAAGTTGCTATCTCCATCCCCACTGACTTGTCAAATCAACTCTCCTAATGTGGTAAAGATGCACAGAAATTCGCATGACGAATACTATACTGGTTAGATGGTAAGTCTATCTATCGCTAGCATAAGACACCGAAACACGTTGAGCCCAAGTCAGGAAGGGACCTGGAAACTGCTGAGCTAATAACTCTGCCCGATCCCGCGAATGCCTTTGACGAACGAGCCGATCACCCTAGAGTGGAGTCCGGTCAAGTAGCACACCTCAGTGAGCTCAGCCGCATCTCACCACAAACAAGAAGACTCCCAACTGACCACAAGCCGAGATCATCCGGTCTGAATCCACCCACAGAGATGCCTGTAACAGATAACGCTGCATTTCCTATGGAGACAATGTCGATCTGCTGTTCTCAGCTAGTAGACCCGAGTGTGCAGATCCTTCCTCGTCTGGGTCGGCCGCAGCGCTGGAACGCCCACTGCTGTCCATCGCTACTCCTTTTTATCGAACCGTAAACTCAACTTTAGCTTCAGTGAAATAACAAAGTCCAAGATGAATGTACAATCGAAAAAAGTAGAATACTACTAGCAATTCTTAAAGCTACTCTGGTCGAATATTCGCGTGGAAATTTTGACACAAAACAAACAAGGACACCACCAGAGCAATAACCGGAAGTTCCAGTCAGAAAAGCAATACAAAAGGTTCAATGGAAACTCGAGTGCAGAAACAACAAGTCGCGAATCACTCAGCCAGTTTTGATGAGCAGACACATCTGTCCTTCTGCCGCTCTACCTCAGAGACGCTATCATCGATCATTTTACCCGAGACGTGTCTATAGTAGGCCGAACGGGTGTTCTCACGTCTGACCAATACCAACATCGACTGAGTCATTCATAGCCATACTCTCGGAATTACCCTAAATGGTTAACTAACAGTTCGGAGCAAACAGTTAGTCATATCTAGATTTCCGGGATGACCTTTTTTCAATTTGAGAATACGGTTATAGTCTACGGAAAACTTGTCCGAAACATTATCAATTGATTCACATTGTCATCATGTTGATATTACTCAAAGTTGACTCTTGATCTTGCGAAAATTCAAGGCGTCGCGAATACTACTTCGCATAACGGTTACATAGAGTAATACACATACCGCAAGCACTCGATGGGACTCACCGTAGCACATCGCCTTTCCTCACCCACTGGTTTGACGCTGGTCCTATTCGTGCATCGTAGAGCGATGCAGCATGCAGAATGCCTATTTGAGGTTCCGTGCCAACCACTAGAATTACGAAACCATCAGACACTTCGGGTGAATCCACCACCCAGAAAGGCCCGCGAGAAGTGAACAACACTGATTTGAACTCGGCGGCGCTTGCCACTGGCGACTTCCCCGTGGCGGTGCTCTCCACAACATACGACCTGAGCGATCGTCATAAGCCACAATAAGATCTCGAGTGCCGTACCGAAGCACAGCTTGCCATCGCTGATAGTCATAGGTCACACTCACCAACTTGGACCTGGGTCTCGAGCCCTTGCCCTTCTGACCCACTTCTTCCCGGAAGTCCATAGCATAGTAACCTGCAAGGCACATGCCGCGCCCGAGTGGCGCGCTCTCCCCCGCTACTGGCTGCATGGACAGGTACCGAGCCAATGCACTGCCCAGTAGTGGTGTCTACAGTAGAAACGCAATCTATAGGGACCCCGGAGCCTTCTTCGTTTCCCGCTGGTCTCCAGACATACACTGCTCGATTAGAGAACCGATCAGGTAACAAGGCATGTATCTATACACAGGGTGAACTGAAAAAAGGAGTGAACAAGTTTTGGCTACCCTCTCCCAATAACAGAAATCGGCCCATTCCGAGCGCCTCAGAGAGTCTCTAGCTCGACACCACTCGAATCAAACCGTTTACCATTTCGAGTCAGTTGATTATGCCCCACAGGAGCTCAAATTTTATATGCATCGCTTCGCGACTATATTCAACCTCTACATACCCTGCTACCTCGACTCCACTGCCATCCCCAAGACAAACAACAGTGTCGTTTTCAGCAACAACATCAAATACACCGATACCACCATCAGATGATGCAGCCAGATGGAAACAGCTTCTACCTACAGTTCCTTGGTATATACACAAACTAAACCAAAGCCGTGATCTCACCTTTCTCGTGCTTGTCCTTCACCAAGGCCATCACACAAGATCGCTTACCCCCAGCTGAGCACAAGTCCGACACCCCCTGAAAAAAACCAAGTCACTTCACCAACTTCAATCTAGGCATCACCTTGTTAGAAGCGTACCGCCTTAGGTCGATGCTACGCAGCATCGCTACATCATCACTGGCCGCCTGCTCGACCGACTCTTTCTTATCATCTGCAGAATACGTAGTAGATCGCCAAGGCCCATTCAACACACTGGCGATCAATCGCTGAGAATCAAACTCGCGGATATATGACTGAAAACAGAAGAAGACATCCTAGTGATACAATGTCGCGCGCCACGAAATTCAACCCAGTGCGGTACGTTGGATTTTGGAGGCAGCAGCTTGGCCACGTCGAGCTCATGGTTCTGACCTAGCCGAAGATTTGACGCTACCGTCACCAGGCTGAACAACACCAAAAAAATTTCCAACTATTTCCGAGAAAATCGCTACCGCGGGTCAATATACACAGCTCTGAATTCAGTAGAATTCCTGTCGTTGAAGCTCGATTTCTCCCATGGGGTCACCAAATGCAATACGTTACTTCGACGGTTCGCCATACTCTGCTAGAATTGGAAAACACTTCGGCGGAGATACACACCCTCTAAGGTCGAGTTAGTGAATCTTCAACGGCTAAAACCGGAGCAAACTACTGGCACGTGGTATGCGAACTGCGGCGCTTCGCTTCACCCCTATGCACATGGTCAACTGTGTGTTTTGCTGACAATGAGAAAGTTTTGAGCAAATTCTGATCCTCCTGCCATAATTAGTGTCTAATCTTCTATAATTAGCAAGGAAACTCCTGAGCTTAGATATGGAGAGCAAGCGTAGATTCCAACACTAGCCACTACGAATATCACTATGAATCAAAATTTATGATCAAACCACACCGCTATAAGGCGTCACTGTATACAGAGCAAGCTCCGCCACCTCTTATCTACCTCCTAGCCCGCCGCAGCGGAGTGAACGCACTATGTTGCAAGGCGATTATTATTAGCGATCGCATAGCTTGTTTATATCACCCTTATCCAAATTCAATATGAAACGTTTCTGCCCATAACTACTACCTGCGCTAGTTGATCCTGCTGCACTCTGAGCATCATCGTACAGGCAGTGAGGAACATGGCCCATATACAGAGCCGGAGGGATGCCCCTGCCCTGTTGGGCTCCTGTTCGGAGTCCCACTCCTCTGTAGGGGAGAGGTCTGCAAATACATCAGCCGTTTGTTACTTGCCAACACTGCACTCGAAAGAAACGTGTTTGATCATTCACTATGAGAATTCCACCATCACGTCCGTCCGACCGGTAAAGCTGATGAGTTTATTACCAAGCTCGTTCATCGACCCAGCGCCTCCAATAATCACAACCCTTACTGGACCATCTCCGGTTGAGGTTGGGCTCGCCTCATCAGACCGACTCTGAAATGACTAAGGGATCACTGACCAGACTGACCGAGGATGGTCCCCGAGTACAGCGAGATCTCCTCGACCAAGTGTCGGTACTGGGACTATTGATGCCCTCCCTGGTGGGGTAGTGGGTGCTCCCATGGCCTCCATCTCAACACTGGACCCTGTGCTAACGTCGCTATCCCTACGGTTTCCAACAGCCGAGTAGTCACGACGACGACCTGGATGCCTCATTGTGTATCATAAAACCATACACTGCTAGATGATATGTTCATGTCTGTTGTGCTCATTGTCGGAAGGCATGTTCGCTCTCCTGGGCTGATCTGGGGAGTTTCCTCACTAATTATTGAAGTTTATATATACGAAGTATGGTAGAAGTGTTTAGAAAGCAATGAGAATTTTTCTGGAATTACCTCGAAATTTCCATATAGTCACCAACGTGTAGTTCACCATGTGCATATAAGTGGCTCTGACGTGACCGCGCGCCACGAAATTCAAAGGAGGCCGAGGTCCCAAGTTCGAATCCCACAGCCGGGTTTTTTCTGTATTTTGGTGTTCACTGTAGCTCTATCACTAGCCCTTGATCTATATCATCGTAGTCATCTGAGGAATACGGGTAGGTAGCAGTAGCCTAGTACTGCATCAAGAGTCATGCTGAACAAGGCAAGGGTTGATTTGACCGGGTAGGGGTGTGCGGGATTTACTAGCGTCGCGCTGTCGCGTGGTGTCTTTGATTCCCTTGTGACAATTGAGATTGGTGTGGTATCCTTGTGTACGGGACTTGGATTGCCCTTGTAGGATTTTGACACTGATTTGAGTCTAATCATCGTAAATGTCATTGCCACCACTTTCTCAATCGCAGAACCAACAGCAGCAATCCACTCAGCTTGTCGGTGAAGACGCGTTTGGCCAGTTCGACGCTTCCAACAGCATGGGGATGAATCAACAGGCCATGGCTATGTCTATGGGTCAGCATCCAGGTGGGACCCCCGGTGGTGGGGTCCCTCATAGAGAGCTTTACCGTAAAACTCGCATGTGCAAGTACTTCCTTCAAGGGTACTGCGTCCATGGCGACCAATGCGATCATGCCCATGATGTCAGCGAGTTGAGGCATCTGCCCGATATGCGTAAGTCGCTTGCTACTGGTCGTTTCCTTGCTTGCGTAAGCTTCCTGCTGTTCAGGTCATGGGGGATACGCCTTTGGTGGTAACGGTCGACAAATGTTGGACACGGCACCAACGTCGCCTGGCTCTACTGAGTCCCATCCTAGTGGGACTGGCGATGCTTCTTCCCACGAGCGCGAGGTTTTTAGGAAGACTCGAATGTGCAAGTACTTCCAGCAAGGGTATTGTGTCCATGGCTCGGACTGTAACTATGCCCACGACTGGAGTGAGATAAGACATATTCCAGATCTCGGTAAGGGCAAGCCTAATCAGTTCACTGGTGCTGCTACTACTGGTGCTGTCGAATCCAGAGATGCCCAATTTATGAATGCTGCTGCCGCCACGGCCTCCACTGCGAAGGCTCCGTATGTCGCCGACTCGGCTGCTACTGATGCTGCTGTTTTGGCTGCTCTCAGTAGTACTGCTGCTGCTTTGAACGAGAACCCCAATTTATTGGTTACTGCTGCTGACTCTTCTTCTGGTCTGCCAGCATCCCAGAAGACTATGAGCAACACTATGACGGCTAGTGACTTCCTCGAACAAGCTCAACTATTGGATCAGATCGCTAAGGCATTGGAACAACTTAATGCTAGTGCTGATAGCAGTGCTTTTACTGCGGGAGACGAAGTCAGGCTTAGACTTCGTTCCTATACTGGTGGTCAGGATATGATTGCTGCGCTTGTCGATGACCCTCCGGACAACTTCCCAAGCATCACAGATTCCTTCCCGACGATTCCAGCTCCTGGTCTGGATGCAGATGCTCCTGCATTTGTCCCACAGCAACAGCAACAACAACCACAGAGGGTGACCTCAGCAGCATCGACATCATCAATGAATGAGAAGAGTCACTATACGAAGTCTTGTGCTGGTACATTGTTGGTGCCTCCGACCAATGAGCCATCACCTGAGTTCCGACAGTCGTCTCGTCCCCGTGGATTGAGTGGTTGGAAGCCATTAGAATCGATCGATAATGTGGAATCTAGGTCGCGAACTTTGAGTCAAATCGCGACAATTTTAGAAGCAAGGAGGAGACTTCCTAGTTTCAACCCATCACAGCCCTCAGCGGCACAGCTTTCTTCCCAGGTTGCTTCTGGATCCTACTCGACACTTTTGAACGATCTCGGATCCTACTCCCAAGTATCGGGAACTAATAATACTAATGCTACTGTTGATAACCGTGCTGAGCGATCGGCGTAACGTTTTCAGCTCTACTTGGTGGGCCTCAGCAGCATTCTTGCTTGTAGCAGCGCGGGTCGCATTTACCACTATTGTCGGTGTTGTTGTTAATGTTGTTGATGTAAGTTTTATCAGTGGTGACACATGTTAACGCTTTTTCTCGTATAAGTGACGTCGTTAGAACGCAAATGGTTTATGGTAATAATAGAAATAATAATATTACTGCTGCTGCTTCATTGCCCTTTCTCCTTTTGAGCTGTTATTACCATTGTTGAACTATGGTTGCAGTATTGGTAGATTATGGCGACAGTGCTAACCGCACCACTGCTGCTGCTGGTGCTTTTCAGTAATGTTCAAGTAGCCTATTGTTAATGTTGTTGTTGATGATGAGGAAATCTTTATGGTTGATAGGCACGGAGAGGGTGCACATCGGCTACTGTAAAATACGTGGCGTTGTCTGTAAAATACGTGGCGGATTTCATTATTCCCTGGTTTCTAGGTAAAGTTACAGTAAGTCTTGAGTTGTCAGTTTCCTGTGGAATGGGCGACAGTTGAGTCTTGTAGAATTAGCTTGAGCAGTTGAGGACATGCGGGTTCTATATTCCCATGTCTAGGATGCTACCGACTAGTTGTGGCTAGGATGCTACCGATCAGTTGTGGCGAGGATGCTACTGACCAGTTGTATGAATACTTACTTTATGAAGGCCATGTTCGAGACGCGTGAAACAAGCATCACCGGTAATGCCAGAGGTACAATGATCTGAACGAGAGGAGCATCTAGGAAATAAGGGATAGGGTGAGCCCTCTGTTTTGCGAGAAGCTCACATGGTTGTACACTAGTGATTCACTTCTAAATTAGTGTCCTTAGTCGTGTTTGTGAATTCATTATCGGCGGTCATAGCGCCTCCCTATTTGGTAAATATTTTTCTGAATGGTATGACTCGTTGGCATAGCGGCCCCTCTATTCAGTCAATAGATTTCGGTATGGTATAACCCGTTGGCATAGCGGCCCCCCTATTTGGTCAATAGATTTCGGAATGGTATAACCCGTTGGCATAGCGGCCCCCTATTCAGTCAATAGATTTCGGTATGGTATAACCCGTTGGCATAGCGGCCCCCCTATTCGGTCAATAGATTTCGGAATGGTATAACCCGTTGGCATAGCGGCCCCCTATTCAGTCAATAGATTTCGGTATGGTATAACCCGTTGGCATAGCGGCCCCCCTATTCGGTCAATAGATTTCGGAATGGTATAACCCGTTGGCATAGCGGCCCCCCTATTCGGTCAATAGATTTCGGTATGGTATAACCCGTTGGCATAGCGGCCCCCCTATTCGGTCAATAGATTTCGGTATGGTATAACCCGTTGGCATAGCGGCCCCCCTATTTAGTGAATAAACCACACGCACTACTCGAATCCCTTGGCTGGGAAAGTCAAGACAATTCATCGTTTCCCGAGGCTTCATCTTTCCTATAGAACTCCTGTCCCCGATTCAACTCCCGGTGGCTCCTTACACTCTCAATCATCAACGTTCACTGTCGTATGAATACTGCAGCTTAAGAGACAATCGTCGCTCCTTAATCGCAAGCCTCACCTCTCCAAACCCCCGATCGACTATCATCTTGCGCGGATCTCCTCAGGGGCTGCATGAGGTTTTTACGTTCTATTTCGTGGGAGAAAGGCTTCACCCCGGCTCTGTCACTCGCATATTGCATATTTGCAGTGGATTCCAGCAGCAGACTGGGTCTCGAGCACTCAATTCGTCCCCTGATTAGCATTCGCTGAGTTCAGGCAAGCTACGGTGTGGACTGACTTCCCTCAGGGCTGCTGATAAGAAGCAATTGAGTGCCTCAATTTGGAGCACTCAATTGCCTCCAAGTTTTGGAATCGTGAGTTCGTGTCTCCACTTAACGCCTTCCTAAGGTACTGAAATGATCTTGTCTTCATGTGTGGGGCCGTTTCGATGATAACTATTGATTGTGTATTGACTACTATTGTTTCTCCTCTTTCACTAGTATATCCTTTATTACGGACAGTTGATATTTTACAATTTCTCACATGATGAAGTTCATTGTGGCTGCTATTGCTGCTATTGCTTTGTCCTCAGCCGAGTACTGCCAGAAACTCTGTGATTCTACGGCGGCGTGTGCTACTTCGAAGTTCGGATCCTACTGCAAGGGCAACGGTTTATGCTTCGGCCTGTACCACAAGGACGACGGATATTGCTTCCAATCCACCGAGCAGGATACCTGTGATGATTACTCCCTCGAGCCTGTCGCTTGTCCGGAGCCGAAGCCTACATGCCAGGAAGTTTGCAACGGTCTCACTCAATGCCGCGACTCAAAGTGGGGCTCCTATTGCAAGACTTGGCAGGATCCTCAGGTCTGTTTTGGTATCATCAAGAAGGCTGATGGCTCTCTCTGCTTCGCTCCCACAGACGAGGATTGCTATGGTGAGCCTTATTATTGCTAACTTTCGGCCTTTTGGTGGGTACTCTCGAGCCGTAGACTCGTAAGGATTGTCGAGCCCTACGGACTCGAATTATCCCGTACTCTCAAGTTGAAGATCAATGGAAGAATGTGTGTTAGTGTGTCTCCATCTAAAGTTATTTCAAGTCACTAGAGGTTTCTAGCCAATACATTTGTGAGTCGTGTTAGGCCGATGAGCCTGTTTGGCGATTCTTTTTAAGATCCTGTCGAGTCAGAGTTGTTCATGGTATGGTTTAGTGGCGGTGACTTGCGGATTTTGAATGTCATTTCTCGAATTAGTTCGAATGTCACATCTCTGCTTATGATGTGTGTATAGCTCTCGACTGTTGGACTCATTGAAGAACTTCGAGAACTATGGTAGCTGTAGTTAGCATCAGAATTTTCGATTGAACAAAAGGAATCGTTTTCCATTCGATTCGTACATTCCTCTTATCAGTGATAAGAGGAATGTACCTATCAGTGATATATCAGTGATAAGTTATCACTAATATATCGCGTATGAAGAGTCTTCATCGAATTAGTGGTCTGCTGTGGACGAGAAGAGTGACGTTAAACGTCTCCTCAGTGCGTGCTCTCTGATCTAAACCGGCTTTGGGTGGCAATCAAGGCAACCACAATGAGCTTCCAGTCAGATCGACAACTTCTTAGAATCCCGTGTATCTCCATCTCGAAAACCCCGTGTAATCTCGATTCTAGAATTCGTGATGGCCCACATTGACTCATACTATAAGATCAATGAGGAACGTTACTCCGAGATCTTCAGAAACAGTACTATCACTAAGCGACCATGCTGTCAACATCAGTGCTCTTTCCCGTACTAGCAACTAGTAAATCAGCAGTAGTAGCGTCACCGCGAGAAGGCGAGCGGTTACGATACCTGTTACAAAAATGGAATGGAAATCTTCGTAGCAGAATGGGCTGACACTAGAGAGGGCTTTGCACTACGTTCGGTCCCATAGGAACAACGATTGGATTCTCCACGACAAATCTGCTCCGCCTTTCCGGAAGAACGTACCTATTGTGGAGGGGGAGCAATGCACACACGAACCCTAGGCAGTTGCATAGGAAATCTGACCAGTTCATCGAGAACGACGTATTAGTAGGTCAGGGATTCCTGCCTCAAAATCGAACTAATGGATGTCTCCGAATCACCATGAGCCGTCCATAGTCCCCATCGACCATTTTCTCTCACGAGTAGTGGAAGACTAACTCGTGCTGTTGCTCCACCCGTTCCATCGGGTACAATACCACTCCAGAAGAGCCGCGACAAACGAGCTGACCAGGGCGGTCGTCGTTCGGGACCAAGTTGGCTGGCTACCTACACCCATACTTAGTAACTTAGCAGCATTGATAGCTGTACTACAATGCCATCAACGAGAAGTACAGGCTCAGGTGGACCGCAAAGGAGTCGCCAGCTCAACCACGGGAATGCCAACACTGGGGGGATTGCTAGGAAGATTTTCAGCGACTTCGGCCATCGCGACAAAAACATGCTGAAGTATTAAACTCATTGCATACCACTGGGAGCGCTGCTTAAGAACCGAACATGCTCAGTGGGCAGAAACTAGTTTCGGCACGGCAATAGTGTTCTCAACGTGGTCACACGAGTGATTCTGCAGCATCGTCCCAGAACACTTTGAATGTTTCATCGTGACCCCTGGGAAACTCAACAATGGTATAGTGATCAGGAAACAATAAGGCTATGATGACAGCTGCTGGCTTTACAACGACTACAGCTACGCAATAGTAGTAGCGGCAACCTTAGACGTAGAGTCAATAAGGACTCAGTGATCGTAGTGAATAACCAACCTTATCCTCAGGTAAGGGGTAAAGAGCATATCGACAATGGTAGAAGTCCCCTCAGGGGTTCTTGAGCAATTCGAGGTGAGAAGACGTTAACTCCTTGAGCTGAGTCCATGACGACTGATCGGCACGAGATGGCTATGTGCGATGCTTGGCACTGGTATCCCTCCAGAGCCAAGTCAACCTGAAGTAGATGAAATTGTGGTATTAGTGAACTTCCAACACAAGTAAGCGGACGAGGTCGGTACTATACACCAACACGGTCATCAACTGATACCCCGAGACGGGTCGTCACTGGACAGAATATAACAACAGCGTACCTCTAGAGGAGTAATGTTCAATAGTATAAGTGCCGACGACCAGTGATCAGGACCAGACAGCTAGGAATGATAACTATCAGCACTAGCTGAGGGTTAAAGTGGTGACACGTAACACAGTGTAGTCGATTGCAAGCTGCAAAGAAGGAGGCGGAGATAGCAGTACTCACCTAAGTAGGAACAGATAAGAGCTCAACTACAATGACAAGCACCCCCACCATGTGACAGTTGATAAATGTGTCATACTGCCCGACCTACTGTGAGGCCGTAGTGAACTGAAACCTAGGAAAGCAAATACCGCGATATCAATGCACGAGTCAGCGGTAGCACCTCTGCCTCGTTGTTACTTTACTCAGAGTCCGACTCGGACTCAGAATCGCTCAAGCCGGCGAATGCATTGACGAGAGCGCCCTTAACTCTAACAAAGGGAGAGATCGACTATAGCAGAAGGACACCCATGAGGCCTACTTGGTCGGGCCAGTATCAACAGTGCGAACTACAGGTTCCTTAGGGGCAACCTCGGGACTCCTCTTGATCGGCGCGACGTCCTTACCCTTACCACGCCAATTAGCGGACCTAATATACAACTCTTATCACATCTCCAGAGCAGCCGCCCTACTTGGTGTCACTCGAGATGTGACGACCTTTTCCCCCTTTATTCCCCTTGCCGACGACCATATGAGGTAACCTACGGCACCGTCCCTAACGCTGCCCTCTACCTCGTGCTAACACCACTTACGCTGAAGATGCTTCAGAGGGCGCCGCCTTAGTACTCCCACCACTATGATGCTTCGCCTCTGCGGTGTCCTTCCCGTCCTTCGAAGTGGTACTCACTCCCAATCGCTCTTCCCGTTCAGCTTTCCGACGCTGGTACCTGATCACCGAGGCAAATACACCCCCCCCCCAAAGTGTTGGCATATACTTGCTTTCCTCAGCTAAGCTCAGGTGTTTCTCGATAACATACGAAAATTCATACACGACTTGTGATCGAAATGTGAAAAAAACAGAAAAAAAATTTTGGGATTTTTTTCTAGATTGTCACCAACACATAGTTACCCATGTTGTCCCTATTCCCCACACTTAACGAAGGACCTACTCAGCTTCATCCCTAGGCTTCGCATTGCCGAAAATACTCGACCGCTGTTGCCCTGCAGCATCCTCGTGCATTTCCTGACCACCACCAACAAAACTAAGCTTTCCCCCCCCTTCCCAAACAGAAGATCACCTCAAGCGGCTTAGTCCTAGGCTTCAACTGCAGCTTCTTCCTCTCGTGGTGCTCAGCGGCCTCCTCAGGAGTGCGCTCGAATACCTCACGGTTGTGTTCTCGGTGACTGAAAGTGTACCCAGATTCCCACAGCAACTTTCTAGAATGAGTCCCCTCACCTGTCTCGGCCACCTCTGTGGAATTCACGGTCATCTCTTCCGAACTCACGACGATCGTCCCTACGGAATTCGAAGTCGTCACGACGAGGCCCCCCACGGGGTTCACTAAAACACTTCCAAGCTGATTCGAATCTCCTCGGACTTTTCCCTTTACCGAGAACGTCTGCGTGGCTCTCTGCGATGCTCCTCAGCAGACACTCTAATAGTGCGGCCGCCGAAGTTAGCGCCACTCATCTGGAGGGCGGCCTCGTAGTCCTCCACAGTGGCGAAGTCGAGGTAACTGAAAAGCAACTACTGTTTCTTCCCCGGTCCGATACTACTACCCGAAACCCTTTGATTTTTTCGTCTCGCGATCCATTATGATGCGAACACCAACAGGGGTAATGTTCCTGTCTAGGAAGAAGAACCCGAGCTCGTCCTCGGACGCACTGTAGGGCAAACCACCGACGTATCTATACAGGGAAATGCCCACTCCCCCTCGCACTCCAATACGTACACACAGAAGCTCTGAGGGGCTCCCATTCCGGTGGGCAAATGCTCCTCTTCCCTCTCCTGTTGAGACACAGCAGCCGATTCCTCCAACGAGAAATGGTCATCGCCGGGGATTTCCTAAACGGCAAAAAAGTCGGAAGACTCCCACCTTGATGATGGAGTATTTTTCCTTACGGGTGCCGCAGTAGGAGACCAGTCCGGGGAAAGGTCGGCCGACTCGTCAGCCCAATTGGTTGTTGATTTTATCACTGGAAGAGCCATGTGTAAAGAGAGAAACTACACGTTAGGAGTTTTCTTGAGTCAACGAGTTAAATCGCTAAGGCCGTCCTCACTCCGGCACTTGAAATCTTGCAAGTTCTCAGCAGGTATCAGGTCAACCTCACAAGAATCATGAACATATTTTCGCAGTTATGAACAAACTTCAACTGCTTCTTGCGAGTGGTAAAGTAACTTCAATTGCATCCTATGCGAGTGCCTCTGTAGCGAATTATATTAGAGCTATTGAAGGAACAATAGCAGTTTTTCTGGTCATAGACTGGAAGGCTAAAGAGCGGCGGAATTCATGACTGTTGCTACTAGTCTTCTACTTCCGTAGCCCCGGCGAGGTGACCATCATAACATGTGCTCCTAACCTACACAGACTATCGGAGTAGCTGATGGTTACTAGTGTATCGTGTGACACTCGACGACTCGCTTTACGTAACTACGTGTCTTGAGTCTTACCAGGAACGGTATGAACTCCTGAACTTGGACCCCATCAGGGCTATTAAAGCAGTCAACTTGATATCAGTTGTCGCTCATCCGCAAACGCCTTCATCTCCCTCAGAATTTTCGTTCTAATTTTACCACTTTATGAACAGAGGGGAGAAGAAGGAAGCCCTATGAATGGTTTCAAATTCCTTCCTAGGGCGTCCCGACGAGGGGAAATCCTCATTTCTAAAGAATAGGCCTCTTTTCTAAAGAAGTTTAGCGCACGCTCTCACCTGCATTTCGACTTAGCCTTGGATTGCAGCCTGGCCTTGGATAACAGTTCGGGTTTCTGGTTTGAGCAGCCCGATATATTTAGTGAATCGCTCGATTCAACGAGTGCGCAATGGAATATACAGGAGGAGAGTGCATGCGTGCAACTTGTTGTGTCTCCTGTGAATAGATATCATCCCGAGTGCGCTACAGCTAATCGATTGGGACACTGTCAGGTGTGGCAACATTAATTACCATTTCAAATGCGGCTCATTTTCCTTTTCCCTGAGGAGGGAGATGTCTGACGATGCTGTGACACCATTGGTGACACAGCATCGTCTCGATGGTACGCATCATGGGAGTGCACTGACTCGCGAGGTTTCAGTAGCGTAAGGGTGGTGCGTTACTCTAGCTCACACAATTCGGTATCACAAGGTCGTATACAGGCGCAACGAAGACTTGCTGAGACACTCATAAATTACGAGTCATGATCATCAGCTATCAAGGATCGATCACGGAAACAGCCAAGAACCCAACGAATTTACACAAAGTCAATGTCAGATTATAACACTACGAGATTCATCTCATGATCATACTTCAAGGAACCGCAAACCGCACTAAATTGAAGGTCAATAGGCAACTGACATTCGGAGAAGAATCTTGAAATCTTGCTCTCTTGCGTTTTCTTAATCTGGAAAAGATGCGCGTGCTAAGTGTGTCGATTTTAGTGATAACATTGCTAGAAAGGATTCTTCTTTTAAGATTACATTGATATCTTGTTTATATGCCCGTACATCCCTCTAGAGTGCAGACCAAGCTTCCGGGAATGGGAGGCGTTGTCTCGACTGATGGCACTTTTAATCGCCCCGTTGACGATAGTGCTTTCAAGTCACCGAACATGTCAACTCCTCCGAGCTCCCCTTCGAGTCAAGGGGAAGGCAAACTGGGAGGTCGCAACCGCGAGGTCTTCAGCAAAACGCGAATGTGTAAATTTTTCTTGCGAGGCCAGTGCAAGCACGGTTCGGACTGCGGGTATGCTCACGACTGGAGCGAGCTAAGGCAGGCTCCCGATCTCCGGAAGACCAAAATGTGCCAGCTTTATCGCAAAGGGCAGTGCCCTAATGGTGCTGACTGTGCTTATGCACATAGTCGCGATGAACTCAGAGCCACTGCTGATGTTTATAAGACTTCCCTCTGCCGTTTTTGGATGAATGGTTCGTGCAATGCTGGTTCCAAGTGTCGCCATGCTCACGGTGCTCATGAACTCCGTACTAGGGTACCTACTGCCGCTGGCACTGATGCTGTTCTCACTGCTTCTACTACTAACCGTCTCGCTGAGGCTGCCGCGGCTAATGAGGATGCTGATCTGATGGCCACTGCTGCTTCCCTAGCTGCCACCCAGAAGGCGTCGTTGGGGTCTACTATGGCTATGAACGATTACTTGGAACAAGCTAATTTGTTAGAGCAGATCGCGAAGACTCTCGAGCAGCTCAATGAGACTACTGGGAGTAGCGGTTTCACTGCTGGTGATGAGGTTACTCTCAGACTACGTTCCTACACTGGTGGCAGGGATATGGTCGCTGCCCTCCTGGACGACCCTCCGGCTAGTGCCCCTAGTGTTACCAACACTCTTCCCACTGTCCCCATGGCTGGCATGGACGCTGATGCACCGGTGTTCGTCCCTAGGAAGTCCATAAGTTCAATAAGCAGTGATCAGTTACAACAGCTGCAGGCGATCATTGAGGAGGCCGGTTACAATGCACCAAGTGCTGCAGCTACCCCTGTGAAGGGTCCATCGCCTGTCGTGGCTCCCACTGTACAGGGTGATAGTCGCCCGCGTGGTTTAAGTGGTTGGAAGCCTTATGAGCCCTCCAATGTGAATTCCCGAAGGTTGAGTCAAATAGCCACTATTCTTGAAGCTAAGAGGAGACTCTCTAGCTTCAGCCTGGCCCCTCCCGGTATCATGCCTGGTCAGAATCTTCCTCCTATGCACAGTCCCAACAGGGGGCCACTTGCGTAGGGTCAGTATAGGCCTTGTACAAACGTTCGTCATACTCGGAAGCATCCGTCATATCATCACTAGCGTCTTGTGTGGACAGTTGGTGATGATTTCCGTATTATTTTTGCCGGGTATGGGCACTGTGTGATAGACCCTCTTATCCTCTTGCAACTGACGAAGGCGTTAGGCCGTTCAATTCCTCCACGCTGCTGGATTGGCAAATGCTGTGATTATCGTCGTTGTTGCCAGTACTAATACTATTGCCGCACTGGAGGTTCATGTTGAACTCTAGAGTCGATAGTAACGTTGATTACGTACCAGTTATATTATATAACACCTTTTCGTTCAAGGTAAAGTTCTCTTGTGTTGAAGTCACATTGATCGGCCGCCACGCTGAACGCATTACGCAGAAAAGGCACTTGAGGATAATGAAGATCGGTGTAGGGATATATGCTTGGTTTTATCAACTCGTAATTTTCTTCGCTACACTATTTCGGGTAGAAGTGGACAAAAACAAGCGATAATTTCCTCGCAATTTTTGATATTTTTTCCAGCACATGTGGTCGACCATTTTTTCCCAGACTGGTGAGGATTGACACGAGGCTGTGTTGCGTTAGTTGTTATTGACGAATCGAGTCATGGTCTCGGCGACGAGCTTACCTGGAGTTACAGCAATAGCAGTGTCAACTGGTGTTGTTTTGTGTGCGGTGTGGTATTGGGGAAAATATAAGAAAAAGAGAGAGGAGTCCCTGGCGAGGATTGACGAGCTTATAGTGTGAGTAGTGTTTCTTGTATCATCCTGTAAAGTAGTGTAAGTAGCATTAGTCCTCAGATATCCTATAAAGTCGGCATCAGGAGTTCGAGTAGATGAGTGTGAGTTAACATGGAAAGGCCTCAAGTACGATAGGAGTTACTCTATTGTTGTACCCGTAGTAGAAGAGTCTGATCAGAGGTAGTTGGGCTCGTCCATCCACTACTAGGGTACTACTACTACTACTGCCGATGTTAGTCCAACCCCTCACACTGCCCAATACCGAGTACTGACCCAACGGGTCAAGCCAGAGATGAGTCGGATCCATCCATCGCTGCCGAACCCTGATGGTAACTTCTTTCCGAGAGGTGCCCTTACTGACTACCAACAGGTATCACCCTTATCTACCATCACACTACCGATGAGCCGTCCTCCTGCATACACGTGCCTTTGATAATCGATGGCCCCCGCATAACGACGGCTGTGTGGGGTGAGGAAGCTAGAGGTGTTGATCAGGTGAGCCGGGTTGGAACGATGTCCTCTAGTATATTCATCCATGAACGGTCTCATGTGTTGGTTGAAATTCTCCTTTATAACGAGTACACATACATGGTACATAGCCATATTTATCTACTCGAAGGCGCCGGAGGCTTCACAAGGGTGGTAGTGCAGGGCCGTCGGTTCTATGTGGAAATGAATTCAAAGTTGTGGTATCTATTGCGGAGCTTTGAAATCCTGATGAATAGCGATAGTTTTTTCCTTTTATGCAGGGTGATGCTGTAGCTGAGTGGCTGAGCCGGCATCTTGGAATCATCGGGGCTCGTTTGATCAAGTCAGTGAGCACACAGGAGTTCATGAGGTGGCCCTCTGCAGTATTAGTGACGGTGAGGCATGGCACTATTCAGGAGTCTACCCCCTAAGAAGGGCGGTCGGGGAAATGATGGCCTCGACTTTCAAGGTGAGTTCTTTCGCATTGGGAAGATATGTACATGATCAACTACATGTGTTGGTGCGAAAATGAGAAATCTGAGTTTCCCGTACATTTCTACCCGAATTCGCTCTTCGGCTGAAGTGAGGAAAGCGATCATATATTCCAATACTGGCGCTTGCTCACCCCGCGTTCGCGTTCATGATGTTCCCCGACTCGGTGTTAGAATATAATTTTACTTCCCTCAGCTGAGCTCAGGAGTTTCTTCACTACATTTTGAAACTGAGATTTTTTTGGCAAATTTCTCATATGTATTTTCCCCACACTGTTAAGTCCTAACTCGTATTTTTATGGAGTACTGCTGTCCCAAGGAGCTCAGTGTTGTTTCAGATGGCTTTCCCCTGCTAGTGCTATCCCGGGCATCAGCTGCTGAGCTCATCGCACACGTGCCGATTGGAGTAGGACGGCAGATGGATTACCGAAGGTTTAGGCCCAATATACTCTTAGATGGGTGAGAAGGAAACGACTTGGCATTCGAAGGTGTGGCCCTGTTAGCAGTGCTGGGGGAATATATGTTCGTTTTCATTATGGGAGTTTACGTATGAGTTGTAGTAGAAGTGTGCAGAAACCAATGAGAATTTTCTGACTCCATATTGTCGCCAACACATGTGTATATCTTTCCACTCGGGGGGCTTCCGCGTGAGCGAGGTTTTCGAAATCAGGTGCCCTCCCTACAGCGAGGAGAAATTTCCCACTCTGGAGCTCGTCGAGGGTCTGACTACATTAGATTTAAGTAGGGATGGATTGGAGCCTTCTGGTCTATTGTGCATGATAATGTATTGACAGTCCGTCCCTGCAGTCGATGCACTATACCTACTGTTGACCCTGATACGGGTATGATGGATACTCAGACTAAGGAGCCACTATCGACACTATTCGACTTTCGTACAGGTAGTAGTAGTAGTAGTAGTAGTAGTAGTAGTAGTAGTAGTAGTAGTAGTAGTAGTAGTAGTAGTAGTAGCAGTTGTTGTTGTTGTTGTTGTTGTAGTTGTTGTTGTTGATTGTTGTTGTTGTTGTTGTCGTTGTTGTTGTTGTTGTTGTTGTTGTTGTTGTTGTTGTTGTTGTTGTTGTTGTTGTTGTTGTCGTTGTTGTTGTTGTTGTTGTTGTTGTTGTTGTTGTAGTTGTTGTTGTTGATTGTTGTTGTTGTTGTTGTCGTTGTTGTTGTTGTTGTTGTTGTTGTTGTTGTTGTTGTTGTTGTTGTTGTTGGATAAATTCCCTGGTTGATAAGTTTCGACTACTTGGAAGAGTCTTCCCTTCCTAACTGACTATGAGTTGTTGACAACGTTTGAGTTTCTAAGTAGAAACAATGTTCTATTCACCCTCAAGCGTGGAAGTTTACGTATCGATTTGGTGGACAATTTCACTCTAGGTCGTTCGGTGTCTTTTAACATCATTCAAATAGATAATGAGTGATATCGCTCCCTAAAGTTTTTGTGTGAGAATCGGCATAGTGAAAATCCCTAATTCGAGGAACTTGTCCGAGTTATTCACTGTTGTTTACTATTTCCCGAATACTAAACTTGTAACGAGGGGTTTCCGGGAATAGGTTAATCGCATAGTATGTCTCTTAAAACAGGTAACTCGATAATGTCAAATTGTCATCCACGTCATGAGGCCTTCCTCGAGAAGCACAGGAAAAAAGTTTTCCTCGGAGTTAACGCCGTCCCTCGGTTCACCAGTGGTGATATCAGTCCAGTTGTCCGAGTTGGCGATGTTGTCCGCTTCGTATAGGGGCACTTTGATCGTGATGAGGCGGTGGAGTGGTATGGCTTTCAAATGGCGACTCCACTGCCTTCTGGCATTCACATCTCTGAATGATTTTTACTATCAACCATAGCAGTCGGTGGTGTAGGTGTGTGGTGATCAGCGAGGCTTAATATCATGTTATGTTGCTACAATTGTTACTACCTTTGCGTTGTTGATGCTGGATCGCACGGGGCTTGCATCTACCTTTGTTACCTGATTTTGAATAGGAAGTGTTCAGCCAACAGGATGCCGAATGAGACTAGTTCGAAGCGGTGTGGTATGTTCGTTGTTGATTGAATATACATCCATACGAAATTAGTGCTCTACTGGCAGCCTTTTTCTACGTGTGGCTGGAATAGCAATGCTAACTTCATGGTCGGAATTTCACGTAAGTGTTTAGAAACTTTGCTGGGTCACAGTGCATGTGAAAACTACTCTACAAGGACCATAGTTGAGTAATTTTGAGAAATGACTGCGAGGCCTCTCTCGATCGGTCCTACCTTGGTGTTGGCAGTAGGAGTCGGTGCGGCCCTATACGCTCTTTATTCCTCTAACAAGAGGAAGAACGATAAAACCGAAGGAAATGATGATCCTGTTGTGGCGAGGATTGACGAGCTTATAGTGTGAGTAGTGTTCTTTGCATTATCCTGTAAAGTAGTGTAAGTAGCATTAGCCCTTAGATATCCTATAAAGTCGGCATCAGGAGTTCGAGTAGATGAGTGTGAGTTAACATGGAAAGGCCTCAAGTACGATAGGAGTTACTCTATTGTTGTACCCGTAGTAGAAGAGTCTGATCAGAGGTAGTAGGGCTCATCCATCCACTACTAGGGTACTACTACTACTGCCGATGTTAGCCCATCTCCTCACACTGCCCAATACCGCGCCTTGAGCCAAGCCAAGACGCCTCGAATGAGTCTGATTCACCCAGCATTGCCTAACGCCCAAGGTTACTTCCATTATTGTGCATGCGTGCATACAACAGTTATGCAGGCATTACAATAGAGTTTATCGAGAGTGGGGAGAAGCCCTCATCGATTCACGTACCTCTGTTGATGAACGGTCGAAGGATCACCATCGTTTTATGGGGTAACACTGCAGTTGGAATTGACCAGGTAGGAAGGCAGCCGAGGTGCATATCAGTTTAATACGATTTCCTATTGATTTTATTCTCCAAATTCGACCTTTTTAAATGGAAAATATGATAGTATAAGCACCGGATTTGGGCGGTAACATCAGGTTCTCCCGCTTTTGAAGGGTCAATCGGATTCGGTCGAATTAGGAAAGTCTTTTTACCTGGCTCGGCTCTGGTCTAACTTCATCTACACCGTTTCATGCAAGCGACCGTTATAAGATGCGACTAGTCGATACGCAAAATCGCAGTAATTGCATAACTGGTCGGTCTATACTAAAGTTTTGCTAATTTCGAACCTAATTATATAATATACTGCGTATTATTCCCTCTCGTTAGCGATGTTCTTTCTCAGGGTGACGAGGCTGCACAGTGGTTGAGTGATCATCTCGACATACCCGGAACTCGACTACTGAAGGCAGTGGATGATGAGGAACTCACGAGGTAAATTAATATATGTTTGCTCACTACTTTTTACTCATGTTTTCTTCCCGAATAGTGAGAGTGGTCTTTAATCCTATACTTACAAAAGTTTACACATAAATGAGGGTAGAAGTGTAGAAAAAACAAAAATTTCCCGAAATTTTCTCATTGTTATCACGACATGCATCTGCTGTCCATAGGTATCTGGCTGCTGCCCAGAACCGTCCAGATGCGCATCATCTCGATTACCATTGTAAGCCCATAATGTTTCTATGCTTGTACTCGGTGTTAGATATACGCCCTCTTGATGTGCTCTCCCGAGCATCGGTCGCTCAAGTGGTGGCACATGTTCCAGTTGAAGTGGGACGACGTATGGACCATCGACGCTTCAGAGCTAATATCATCCTAGATGGGTAAGTAGCTCGTCCGAGTTTACTCTACGTAGTGTTATAATATCAAATTTCATAGTAGTTTTATAATTATAATATCATTATATTTTTTTCATAATTTTTTTATCGTAATCATACTCTAGAAAGCACATTAAATATCCTATTTATGGTCGCGTACTAGAAGTGCTGACGAGGGAAAGACGCTTAGGGACACTGGGTCTGACTGGCACTCAGTGAGCGTCTTCCTGAAATGGTCGAATTGGGATCAAATATAGAAGTTTCCTCCGCCCATGAATGTACAGAACGCTCGGGGAAGATCCGTTCGCTCCACGATTTCATCTCTGCTGTGCGAATTGCTAGCGGAGCGATGCAAGCATCCTTATCGGTATTCAATCTGACTCAATGAAATAGATGGGTAATTTTTGTTAGTTGTTCTCCATTTACAGAGGATAAGTATTCTACGCTCGAATTCCAAGACAATTCGTTACTCAAGATTGACCTTGGTAACGCGACGTTACGTTATAGAAGATGTCATACATGTACTCTCAGACAGATTATGCGATCGATGTGTGATCCCTTCGGTTGATCCCGATACGGGGATAAAGGACACGGAAACGAATGAGCCCTTTCCGACCCTCCTCAGCTACCGTAGAGGTAGTATCAGCACTTCTTCCTTTTCATACACATGTTGCATGCTATAGGCAAGACGATAATGAATAGTTGTCACCCACGACATAGACAGTTTCTCGCTGAACACAGCAAGTTGCCATTCCTAGGCGTTCATGCTACACCAAGGTTTGCTGAGGGAGCATCTAGCCGTCAAGTTGTCAGAGTTGGAGATGTCGTGCGCTTCGTATAGGCTTCTCGTGATTGCGCAGTTGTTACTGGTTTACTTACATACGTCAATTTACTACCACCCGTATTCCTACGTACCTTATTCATAAACACGGTATATAGAGGGAACAGAGTCTTTGTGTTGTAGTCTATACACTCAGCGAAGTGCTGTCCGAGTGGTAACCGATCATGCGAGATGGTAATCATCTCTATGTCGTACTGATTGTAAGTTGATAAAGCTGGTAACGTCGTATTCGAGCCGAGCTATGGTTTATATCTAGCCTGGCCCTAGATAGTCCTCAAGCTAAAAGCATATATATCATGCTTTGGATGCTAGCACTGTCGTGTGCTTTTCTCGAGACTTCTGAGGGTATACAATGCTGATATCATAATATCAGTGATATGCTGAGGCGATAAAGTACTTTTCAAACTTGGAAATTTCAGCCACAGTGCTCTGCAGTCAGCTTGCCCCTCTATCGAAATGACAGTCGCTGAATCTCCCCTGGATGTAGCGGCTCAGATAGATGCTCTCACCGCTTCGATCGAGGCCATCCAAGATGAGGTAATACTACTGCTATTCGAAAGCATGAGTCACGATCAGAATTCGCTCATTGGAGCTGAAGCTGAGCTATTGGCTGCTTTCCTGCATGGTAAAGGCGCCGGCGCGAGTGAGTATTCTAAGTGGAGTCTTTGAAGTTCCACCTCTTTTCCGTAAAGTGCCGATTTTCGCGCTATGCAGTAGTCGTGAAATATATTTTTACTAGGGTGAAGCTCTTTTGTTGTAAGTTGACTTGTCGTGTTTAGAAGGAGAGAAAATGGAGGGCATTGCGAGTGACTCGGATGCTCCTGGGAGGAAACTGCTGAGATACGGTGAGCAAGCTGGTGGGTACAGTGTTGGAGGAATATATGCTCGCTTCCCTCAGCTGAGCTTAAAAATTTCCTCACTAATTATATAAGTTTACATACAATTACAAATTTTAGTATACCTGTCCATATTTCAGTAACTACAAGAATTTATATACAAATTAGAACAGAAATGTGCAGAAACCAATGAAAATTTCCCAAAAATTTCCCTCGGACTTTTCATATTGTCGCCAACACATGTGGTTGACCATATACATATTCTCACACAATGGTTTGGTCTGTTATTGCTCTTATCTCTATAGGAGGTTCTACCAGTCCTCGCAAGACTCTTACACTCCAAGAAAAGTACGATATCGCTCAGGGAGAGGTAACAGGGGAGTGGTATCAGAATATGAATTTGAAAATAAATAATTATAGTGCGATAACATTTTCAATATAACTTCGGAGAGTTTGTCAATGACCTTTTTAAATACATAATGATAGTTATGGTGCTAGGATACACTCCATGCCAGAATTCATGTTCAGTCCAGTTTGGACTTCTCTGAAAAATTCTCTTTCTTCGTACAGTAGAGTTTCACCCTAGTAATATGAAAAACACTAGTGAAAAACATACTTTATACGACTACTGCATATCACCGTGAATATCGCGTTTTTCACCGAGTTTTACGCCACTTCACGTGAAATGGGTGAAACTCCCGTGATATGAAAAACACTAGTGAAAAACGTATCTCAGACTGCTGTCCAGCGCTAGTGTCGGGTTTTTCACAGGGCATTACGCCACTTCACGTAAAACGGGTGAAACTCCATTATTCTGATTTCTCTCGTTGTGTTCAGATGCGTATGGTGAGTATGCAAACGTCACAATCGAGCGAGCGTATTGCCTATAACATGGAGATACTCAGAGTGAAATTAATATCATCACCTTATTCGGTATTGTTCCTTGCAGGCGTTGTTGGAAGTGGCAGAGGTTCAAGCCGCTGAAGTGAAGCGAGATGCTCTCGAATTTCGTCGTGATGTGGTAATGGGCGCTGAGAATATCAGGTGAGCAGCAAAGGGAATACTACATATTAATGGAGTTTTACTCGTGATATGGAAAAGTGGAAAACATATTTCACATTTTACTCCGCGAAAATCATTTCGTACTATCGATCGCGGAAACATATGCGTCTAAGAATTCACATGGAGTATCGCACCACTTCACGTTGATCATTCAACTCCAATGATATGTAGTATTCGTTTCATCGGGTATTCGCTCTATTGCTACATGGTGTTTGGTACGGCGTTTTCCCTGTGTAGCCGATTTTGCGGTTGACGACACGTCAGTGCAAATTTCGAGTATCAGAACCGTTCATACAGCGTTGGAAAGAACTCCATGAGGGCTTCTGAATAACTCCTATTTTTTCATCATCTATGATATGGCGGCTCTTTACCTGCACGGCTCTGTATGGTATGATATAATTTCACCGCTCGCTCCTCTGCGGGTCCTGTTTATTAGTTTGGTCGGCTAAAGTTGATGATGTGACTTATCGTATGTAACTGCTGTAATCTACCATATCAGAGATGTATAAGTCTTTGCCCACAAAAAAGTCGTTAGTTTCACCCCGATTCTATTCAGAACATATATCAAACTCTGGTTTCCGAGTATTTCCGGAGAGAAACAGTGGATATGTGCGATATGAGAAACACTAGTGGAACACATATTTCACGACTATTCCAAGGCGCAAATATCGCGTTTTTCACGGAGTTTTACACCACTTCACGTAAAGCGAGTGGAACTCCAGTGTGTTCGATTTGGATAGTCGTGATATTCTGATGTAATTACTATCGCTTTAAATTCACATTCGCGGTTCAGGACGGGCAAGACTATAGCTGAGCGGGTGTTGCGACACTTTGAGGATAAGCTCACTCAGAAGGATACGGTGTTAAGCAAAATACTCAGTAAAAATAAGGTACGTGGAGTGGCATGTTAAAGGGAAAAAGATTTCTCTCAGAGCATGCAAATTTCAATTAGGAAAATCGAGGCAGAGCTCAAAGAAAGGCAGCAGGTATTGGTATCAGAATCTCTGGTGAATAATTTTGTGGCGCGCGGTCATGCAGAGTGGCGAAGTGATGAACTTTATAGACTTCCAGCAGCTGCAAATCGATAATGAGCTTTCTGTGAAGAAAATTGACGAGATTAATAAGGAACTGCTCAGCCTTAAGAAAAGCTACGCGAAAATAGTTGAGGTAATTATTGATGATTGCAAATGAGTGAAAATTTTTGACAGCAAGTAAACTCGACTAAGAAGCGCATAGGCGACCTATTGAATGAGGAGAACATGTTAAAACAGGAAATGGAGGGAAGGAAAAAAGTCTTGACCAAGACGGAGAAAGACATAAGAAAAGTGTGTTGAGAAATAATTTTCGATAGTCTCGGAAATTTGCATGTTTTAAGGTTGCTGTCGAGAGGGAGAAAGCTCGCAAGGAAAACAGCAAATTGCGAGTAGTAAACCCTTATGGTTTTACTGCGCGGACTGTAGTTGATTTTTAGGGGATGACCAGAAATGTGCGCACTGATGGTGGAGGCTCTGGTGGTCCCCGGGTAGGAAACGATTAAATGTTTACTGTTTGAGTTTAACTCGTTTTACATAACGTAACAGGGGTAAAACTCCAATACGCCATCGCTAACGTGAACCACGTTGTGTGGCGTCCATATGAAAAACGTGATATTCGCGATTTGAAGTGAATTGAAAATACTTCGCTCATTACATCAAACAAATCACGCCATTTCACGCATGCGTTTTTCGTGAAGTGGCGGGTGAAATATGTTTTTCAGTAGTATCTTCTATATCACGGGTGAAACTCCACTGGAGTTTTACCGTTTTACGTGAAGTGGCGTAAAACTCTATAAAAGCGCGATATTCGCACTATGCAGTAGTCGCGAAATATGTTTTTCACCAGTTTTTTCGTATCATGGGTGAAACTCCATTGAACCTAATTGAGGTTTCTTCCTCGTGTTGGAGGAATATATCTTCGCTTCCCTCAGCGGGGCATAGAAATTCGGGTAGGTGTAAAAAACGATCGGGAATTTCCCTCCAAATTTCCTCTCAGAATTTCCTTTTTGTCACCAACACATATTGTTGATCATGTGTATATTCTCCTCCACACTGTTTTTCCAGTTCATGGAGTGTTTGAAGCTGAAAATGGAGGAACAAAATCTTGAGAAAAGCAGGAAGAATCTGGAGCGGAAGGTGAATTGAGTTTATCGAAGTGGCTGATCGTTCATTGGTTAGCTCGAAATCATGGAAGGTCAGTGTAGGAAGATGAGGAAAGGAATTTGGTGATGATGCTGTTGAACATGTTATGGATGATATTCCTACAGTTTTTTGTTTATCGCGTTGATAAGGGAGTTTCACCGGTGATATGAAAAACTTATTTCACGACTACTACAGATCGCGAATGTCACGTTTTCGCGAAGTATTACGCCACTCCACGTAAAACGGGTGTAACTACAATAAATGTAGGGATAGTAACCTCCTAAGAATAGAACTCAACACGCATCAAATGAGTACGCTTGTACGAGGCCAGTGTTCACCCTCGTACGAATGGTATGTTCGCCGCACGCACAACAGAATGAAATACGTTGGAATGCGTACCTTCATGTACGCGTATGAACTGCGCACGAGCTACTCTACGGAAATATAATTTCCGAGCGTTTATCGCGCCGAAGTTTCCACAACGTGTAACCGATCAAAATGTATTTCCAATATCTTAGGGAAGATAGCGATTCGACATGTGTAGTTTGGTCAGGCTGTGCGGTAGTCTATCGACTCACCCTGTGAATCGAATAGTGATGCGAACCTGAATGCCGTATGTCAATGTGAACTCGTGTTTCGTTTTCGACCTCTAATAGCACTACACTCGAAATGCGTGTTGGATGAGGTGGGGTTCGTCCCCCCCCCCTGAGTAGGGTAATTCGATCCCACGTTAGCCTCCAAGGAGGAACTACAAAGCAGTAACTGAGTAGCTGATTGTGGAGTAGAAGTAACTGAATAACTTCATGACGCAGAAGAGGCGCTAATTTTTTAGCGCTCATCATATCAGCATGTATTGTTCATCGCGGAATAAACTATGTAGTTGTATGTACCCGAAATTCTGAGGCAAGGCAAGGAGTCGTTCGCCCTGTGCGTCTGCGCAGAGGGGCAAACGGCACGCATTGAGTACGGGAGCAGCCTCAAGTATCACACTCTATACTGTCCATACGTTCCGGTTGGACTCAAACTTTGAGGGGGCGAGTTTCACTTCTCATGCGGGATGCTCTTTGACAGTACTGGATGCAAACCCGATAAAATCTAGTTTTTTATTTACCGTATGTCTGCGAGGATCAGCGTGTTTTGGGTGGTTTTTCTGGAGACAATTCTCAGGGGAGTTGCAGGGCTCCTGAGGATACCAATTTACAGACGAAAAGTTTACGACGGGGAGTTTGTAATCATCGCACCGATGAAGGTTGACGGTCAGTGTCTGAGCCCTCTGGTCGACACAGGATCATCTAAGCTCTTCTTCGTCGAGAAAGAGTACCTCGAAAGTACTATGTCGCCTAAGTCCTGCAATGACTTTGTTTTTGGTTGCTATGAGTGTGATGCTCATATTTCCGACGCTGAAGTGAGCGAGATAGAACACTGTGACAATACCTGTGCACACGTGGTGCGGTATAGAGGAGTATTGGAAATGGGAGGTCAACTCGTACACGACGTGGAGTTCGGACTGCTAGTGAATTACGAACCGAAAGGCTACATGCCTCACGCTTCGCTCGGTTTGGCTCCACAGTTCGATGCAGGTAGTATCACATTATTAGGTCAGCTGATGGATAAAAGAGTGATAGACAACAAAGCGTTCTCTATGTACTTCAAACCAGAGAACTACAGCGAGGGCGAACTCGTCATTGGCGGTGAGGACTCGAGTAAACACGAAGAACCTGTCATTGCGGTTCCTCTGGTTGACGTGGGTGGCACCTGGGTGGTCAAGGTGGCGAGCCTCGTAGTTGGCGAGGAAACCATTCTAGAGTCGGTGCCGATGGATATCGATAGCGGCACATCGTATTTCTGGTTGCCATTTGGGTTGCATCTTAGTCTCTGGAAGGCACTTGAGAAGTCGGCCAGTCTTAGAGCAGGTCGACAGATCAAGTTCAACTACAACGATGGTTTGCTCGCTCTCTCACGGTGTTCTGATAGGGTCTATCTCCCCCCACTGGAAGTCCATCTGCGCGACAAGTTCGGTGTCGTTTCACTTATTGTGATATCGAGCGACTTCTACGTACAATCGTCCAGCTCACCAGAAGGGGAAACGTGCATTCTACTAGGGCGAATGGACCCCGTCGATGATCTGTATACCCGTCCAACCATTGGGTTGAATCTATTGCGGGAATATTATCTTAACTTCCAATATGATGAGCGTGAGATCCGATTCGCGAGAATGCTGAAGGGCTCCGATACTACTAGTCAGCCCTTGAAGGCTTCAAGTCGAGAACAGGGAAACCACAACAAACCTATCAAATCAATGGAACCAGATTCTTCATCTAGTACTCTGTTCGACAGAAGTATCAAGCTCGTCCCCTAGAGAGAACGCCGCTTGCTACTAACGATCATTTACCAGCATTTACACGCATGTTGTTGTGCTGTTAACAAGTTACTAGCACTATTTCTTTCCCGTACTTTTGCAGTTCAATGATTAGCGGTTGTCCGAATTGATGTGTTGCATTCTCGCGAAGTTCACCCAATGCCTTCGATTTCCTTCGCTGACTCACCGTCAGACTCAGTCGACTCTAGAACTGAGTAAACTCAAGAACGCATCCGCATCCAAGAACGTCAGTTAGGTGATCTCATCTATCTTCTCATATTGTATCCTCCCCCAAGAGACAAATGATCCAAGCATGAGACAAACGCCTCACCTGAAAATTCCAGGCTGAAATACCATCTCCTGGTGGACCAGTGTCTCATAAAGACCTTGCAAGATAAATCGAATCTGTATCCGAAAATGAAAAGAACACCACTATAGCAGAATTGAGACCATCCTACTTCGGTACTGGTAGTGACTCACAGTGTCCATCCTCAATGACAACAATCCATCTAAAACAAACATTCTTCACCAACAACATTCATCACGCTTCACCAAGATGGACAATAAAGCCACGACCAGCAGCTTGTAAAGAGAAGGAGGGCCTCACCCAAAACTGACTAACACAAGATATCTCACAACAGGAAAGCATTGTCGTACTAATAATAACGCTTAATGACAGACTTATGAGGTCGTTGACTCAAATGCCATCGGCGACATACTCCTCTCTCCATCGTCAGGATGGTTATCAGTCTCAGGCTCACTGTCCGAATCCACACAGTGATGGAACTTAGCCAAGGTCTGAAAAGCCACAGAAAAGTTAGTCTCCGTAGGCCCATCGAACTGGATCATTTTCTCGTGATGAAGACCATACACTATAAAACCACCTTTACAATCAGAATGTGAGGAAATGTAACATTTCAAATGTGTACACAAGTGTCTCCTCTAATTTCAGGTTCTTGTGATACCTGTCTCCCTTGCTAGCCTAGCGTATACTTTATGACTACTGTATTGATCATAAGCTGACAATTACTTGTTAATAACTCTTGTTGAGTCATCTAATCTTAGCACAGAAAAACTCTAACAAAACGGCACCCCCATATCGAAATTAAACCGTACAAGTGCCGTTTTCAAACATATGACTTCCCCATACGTACCGATGTAAGATAAGTATCGAGCTCCTGTAGCGTATAGTAGTTCTTCAACGTGCCGATGTTAATAACAGGCTTCAACGGAGCAACCTCAAGTTCGGACTCCCTGATACGGTTCCCAGGAGGGTAGTGATTAATTTGGAGACCCGTCGCCGCTGAGAACAAGTGAGACTTGATATTGGCACCGGAATACAAACACCCGGCAGCTTACTTTGGTCCACCACTTGCACTCCTGGAGACAGCCCTATCTCTACACGGTACCGGGTCAAGTCCTGGCGAGTACCTGAACAGAAATGTGCCACAAGAAGTTCAATCTGGATCAGCGACTCACTCTGCGAGCTCACTGTCCGATTCCTCCGCTCGTTATCATGTACACTTGAGGGGCCATCGTAGTCGTCTGCCTCGAAAACCTACACCAACAACACACCATAACCCCCCTCACGAATTTCAAGTTCACTCACGCGCAAGGATATGTGAGTGAGATAGTGCAAGTCCGTGATATCCCTAATCATAGCAGGATCTATGGGCGACTTCATATGCTCATCATCGCCATTCACCAACACCTATACAACAGGGGGCTAGCAGCAGTAGTTGACGATAGCATTCCCTTACATTCAGTAGACTGTGCATAGTAGAGGCGCTCGTGACGTAGATCCTCGTACGCACACACTTACTGGTACCTCGAACAGAACAGCATGAACACTGTTGTAAAGTTCTCACTCAAAACACCAATTCCAAGATAGATGCTAATAACGTTTTCTACTGGCATCGCAGCATCGCTCCGCTCACTTTTCATGCCGGTTATTTGAGCAACCGTCTCGTGCAGTTTGGGATGCCAATCACTGCCATCCCGCATAGCCTGTCTCAGCTGAGCACGTAGCTCCGGAGCGGCGGCCTACAGCAGAAACTAAAACCAGACGAGTATGTACAACGAAACCCACCCCTCTGTTGGCCTTCTCCAGAGACCCTTCGCGACGTTTGGAGTTCTCACCACTACTCGATCGCCTGTAATAACACTTTGCCTCAACGACACCACCCATCCATGACTCACGTAGCTGACCCAGACGACTTCTTAGTTTCGGTAGAGCCCTCTCTGGCAGCCCCTGAGGACGACTCCTCGCTGTCCTTAAACCGATGCGAGTGGACGATACACTGCCGAACCGCGTTGGTGGGGGACTGAACGAGACCAGTCTAATCAGATGCATCACGTCACCATCCATCGTTACATTCTTGGTACTGTTCTTGGATGGAGTCGAGGCCATCGAAAGCGCCGGTAGAAGAGTGGGAGTACCCGTAGCATCAAAGCCGACAGTTTGAGCTGATGTAACAATAGACAAACTTGAGACCAGCAATAATCTCACCATTAGCATTCGATCTGGGCTGGCCTGAATCCGTAATCTCATCCAACATGAACTCCGAGTCGTTTATTAGCTTCTGTATGAGCCGCCTGAAAACAACGTCATCCGAAAGGACGAAGGCAGTCCCTCACCAGCTGGTTTCCACCCCTATGCGGATCTTATCCTCCTTATCAATACCAAACTCACTTGGACTCGTCCAGTTCTGCAATGGGATCAGGTACAGAGACATCTCCTCAAGCACATTCAAGGCCTGCATTGAATAACAGTAAACGAGCATCATAAGCATCGTTAATATCATCATACAGCTGGCGGGACATCATTACGATGATGAACTAGATCGTAGTAAACACAGTCCCATAGATCAGGCACCTTGGTAGTGTCGAACTCCCCTCGGGGTGGACTCAGGAAGCCTAGAAAAACAAATCATCAACACGCCAGCGAATGAGTCGATGAGAGACGATACCAGTGGCCGCGAGGAGCACTCACCTTGGACCAGTTTCTTCCATCGATGCTCTATACGTTGAAGTTGTATATACCGTCGCTTTACTCTATCCTGAAGCTCATGTGGGAGCTTAGGTCCAGGGCCGATCGCATAGTCCTTCTTGATAAACGACGCAAAAGGAGTCGATGAAACTACCAAACACACTAGAATCTTCCATAACGAATTTCAACCTACACCTATCTCTCAGCTTTTCCCCTACGAACGACAGAAAGCCCTTACTGCGACCTCTCGCGCTCGCCCCGCGAGTCCACGATCGGAGCCTTCGATGACCTGACCAAGGACCACCTAGTGATCTTCTCAAGCATCACAACGCCATTCTCTCACCTCGAACAGGGGAGGCTTCGCTTTCGTTGGATTGAGGTGTCTCTGGGGACGACCCGACATCGCCCTCTACTGGGGACGTCGGGTCTTCCGGCAGAGCATTTGGTGAAGAACTGCCGTTTATAGGAGATCCATCGTCGAACTCTGAATAGTCCACTGAGTCCAATCTGACAAAAACAACCATAATCAACAACAATACCAAAAACTCTTCCGCTACTTGTGCTTCTCAGCAAGGCGAGCAATCTCTGTCGAGATGAGGTCCAGAAAAGACAGGCAGAGTTCGCCAACCTTCCTCATGGTGATAAGTGGGTTCCCTATCATCCTCGCAGCCTCAGCCGTACCTGCAGTGCCAGTCGGGCAGGAGGAGGAGGAGGCCACTTGCCCTTATGATCAGTCGGTGCCATAATTTCCAGCAGTTCGCCAGGCCTCAGCTCCGAACTGTCCGTGTGCAAGATGGTATCAATCATTTGCTTAACCTGAGATACCACACCAATCCCACATAACGTTGTCGTCATACGAAGAAGAATCACCTTATTCCTATCCTCCTTAGGAATTGGGCGATCAAGTAACTTCCTCGCAAAGCCATCAACGCATACCAAGGAAACCAATATCGGCGGTAGATCACCTATAGCAGATAAAATACTTATTGGTGGAAATTCTGGGAAATTCTTCTCCATTTTTTACACTTCGACCCCAAGTCGCGTATATGTCCTCGCTAACCAATGATATTTCCCCACATTATAAGACTATATTTTCGCTTTCCTCAGCAGAGTCCACAAGCTTCCTCACTAGTTATTGAAGTTTACATACAAATTCATGTAAAAGTGTATAGAAACTGATAAAAACTCCATCAATTTCCCCAAATGTCACCTACAATGGAGTTTCGCCCGTTTTACGTGAAGTGGCGTAAAACTCTGTGAAAAACGCGATATTCGCGCTATGCAGTAGTCGGGAAATATGTTTTTCACTAGTGTTTTTCATATCACGGGTGGAACTACAATGCAGTTGAGTGCATATTTATATATATTATATTATATATATTTTCATATGCCTTCAGTGCATATTTTCCCACACCAAAAAATCTGTACCATCCCTCCCCCTACCTTCAAGATCCAGAAAGCCCTTAGTAAAAGCAGCTGCGGTAGTCTGGCACCTGCCCTCGTGACTAGAGTAAATCTTAAAATCATGTCGGAACGTCGAATGAAGCCGCAACAGTGAAGTACCTACTCCCATAAAGGTATGCTTTTCATCACCACCGAGAGGGCAAAATATGCTTACGTTTTCCCGCTATATAAAAACAGATTTACACTCCGATATCGGAATTTTTCGCCCACATAGAGTTTCACAACTCCTCACATTTCTAGTGATTTGAGACATAAAAACACTAGTGAGTAACATATTCCACGACTACTGCATATCGCCGAGTTTTACGCCTCTTCACGTAAAACGGTTGAAATTCCTTAATCACAGATCTCCCAAGTAAACCACAATCAGACACAAGTTCTCCCCTTACTCACAATCATCACTATTGATCGGGAAGAGCTCTTGTCGCAGTCTACGGCCCAAGGTCTCCGCCTGGTTCCGTCCAAGAGAAGTCAACTCTCCTCCCCACTTCGCCACCACCTGCACCTCGGTACCTACCACACAACAGGAGTAACCTTTCCAAACTAAGCAGAGTATTCGTCGAACAAGGGCAAGTTCGAAGAATTTAGCATTTCCCGCTAAGTAGCGTTTCGGGCTGAAACTCCTATACGGCTTTCATACACGGCCATATTCGTGACCGTTGTTACTCATATATAATACTAAGTGAGGAATTCAATATTACATTCCTCGACACCGTGGTCGTTGATGCCGAACTTAATCGGTTTGAATTGAATCTTCCTGTTGAGCCCAGTGAAATGTTCATGCAGATCCAAAACCATCTTCAGTGTATCAATATTCTTCCTATCCTTTTCCGATAGCCCAGGCTCTTGCAGAGCCGCCTTCACCTTCCCCAACAGCCTCTTCATCTCCTCGGGACTTTTTATCAACACCTACCACTCCTTTTTCAAATTCCAAACACACCGTCCGACTCACTTCACCATGTGGATCGACTGGGGACTTCCCTGAGATTCCTATGTCCGAATTGTCTTCATCTTCGTCATCATCATCAACTCTACCACGCCTGAAAGCCCTCAAGATTCCCCCTAGGCCACAGAGTTAGTCTACTACCCGTTAACGTAGTCCAAAAAATACCTGTGGGAGGATTTGAACTTGTGCTTCTCTTTAGGCTTCCGATCGCCATGCCGCATTATTATCATCACCTACCATACCACACCATACATTCAAATGCCTGATAACGCTGACAAGAATGTTCCTAATGTGATAATGACATTCACACGGGAAACTGATTGAAGAATGTGTTCACAGCCATACGTGGAAAATTCAAAATTAATTCCCTCCCCCCAGGAACATTGTAAGCTCCCGGATGATTCCCTGTATGATACCACACCATTTTTAAATCCCATGATACGAGTCTTACCGCTCTCAACTTGTCATGTTGGAAGTTCTCTTCATCAGCTTCATCAACCTCGGGAGTTGTCCTATTTATCGGCTCGCTCATACGGTCCTCCTAAGAAAATACCAACAACCTCGAGCAATACCACGCCGACGGCAAATCCTATACTACGATACCCTAAACCCCTACACTAGTCACAAGCACTGGCCAAACATCGTTCTTCTACAAACTGACTTCCGCCTCAGTGAAATTATTTCTCCCACTGAATTCATGAGTATTCATAATCCTATATAACTAGTACTCATAGAAAGAGTAATTTTACTATCATATCAAAAAGCCCTACAATCACCATTTTATACAACCGATCGAGTATTGTATATTGCAAATTCTCGAACCGCTCTAGGAAGGTTCGAGTGCTTCAAACCACCTAGGAGATGTTACCACAACATGTCGAACTACGTAGATGTGGCGCCCGTGACACTCCTGTTGTGATTGCTTAACAACTCCTTACTTTCTCCACCATAGACCGCATAGATCCTCATACGGGTACATACATTCCTACAGCGTTCGGTAGCCCAGCGAACCCCCCAGACCTACGTTTTTGAGAGCTGGTATAGGCATTGTGAATGTAATATGAAACCGATCCAGGAAGAACTTCTGGACGAGTATAGCACAGTCATCATAGTATCTCTGATTCCCCTTCACGAAGGACCAACCGTTAACATCGCACACTATAGACCTTCCCGTTGTACCTACATACAGCAACCCATCCCCACAACTAGAGGCAAGACAACACCCCCAACTCACGTAGGACGTCGAATCCAGTCACGAACTGCCCAAAGGCCTGCACTATCAAGGCTCCACAAGCCTTCTCTACTTCACTCAACGTAATAGGGTATCGTATTTCCTTACCGTTATTATTTCTCATAACTTTGCCATCTACAGTAGGCGCTCTGACAATGATCGTATACTCGCATACTCTTGCGAATCTTCACTATTACTTTCTGGCTTCAGCGTGGCTATACATCTCACCCACCATATAAACCTTGACATCCATTCCTCCTGTTGGGAGGAACGGCTCATATATATACTTCTTATCCTTCCTTATGCGGGACTGCTTCGCATCAAATTCTGACGACTTATCACCGATCTGAAACCAATTTCCCACAACTTCAAATATGTAGTAGTACCTTCCGGAAGAGCTTTTTGCATCCACCTCCGACGTTAGTTGGATAGTAGATCCATATGTTATGATCATCCCCATCTAGAGGCTTCTCAACAAAGGGCTTTTTCAACTTACGCCCGTCGTAAATAATATAATCATCTGCTTCCACGAACTGAAAAATCAGAGCAAACCCATCCGACCATCTCAACTGCCGCTCATCACACGCCTTCTCACACTAGTGAACAAGAGCCCCTCTTAGGCTCCGCTTCTACAAACTAAATAACTAAAGGATATCCATTGGAGCTCCTCATTACGCCCGCTCACATGAGGACCCTCGCCCTTTACCACCTGATGGTCCCCATACTCCAGATGATCGATCGCCATATAGTCCGGGCAAGGTATATCGTGGGACTTCAACGTCTCGTAGACGGTAAGCCTATTCCGTAGTTTCAGCTGGTCTTCTACCTACACATAGTCAATGAAACGCAACGGTAGTATTGTTGGCAAACTCGATGAACTACTGCCCATAGCTACCCCCCTCCCAGAAAGTCAGTGAGAGATTTCACGCCTAGTGTTATACACTAAGAAAACTTCAATAAATTCCTATGCAGATTTGAAGACTAGATCAACCTCGAGGAGTGTACAAATTCTCACACTGTAGATTAGGAAAGCATATACATATATTCCCTTTCACATGCCCTACCTTATTAATCTCCACTGGATGGCGCATTTTGACGTATTCCAAACTCTTGTAAAGTGGAAAGCCCTTTGAATGGAAAGACACGTAACACTGGACTATCGGCCATTCGGATACGTCCTGTTCCAGGATCATTTTCTCATCGAAAATGATGATGTTGAAGGCACCTACAGTGTTCATATATGTTAGAAGTAATATATCTGGTGTATATCTATATGGTTATTATCATATTACTGGAGTTTCACCCGTTTCACGTGAAGTGGCGTAAAACTCGGTGAAAACGCGATATTCGCGGTGATATGCAGTAGTCGTATAAAGTTTGTTTTTCATATCACTAGGGTGAAACTCCACTGTATTAAATATTATTGTATGCAAACAGACAGGCTTCTGAGTTCATCAACAGTGATATTATACATATTTAGATTATCATAGTAGCCCCTAGTTGCAAAACTAGACTATCTAACGACCACGTTGAGATCACCACAGAGAACTAGACATATGCACATGGTCAACTGCATGTGTTGGTGACAACATGAAATTCATAAGATTTCCCATGGCTTTCTCTACACTTATACTCGAATTCGTATACAATTGAGTGGACTCCTCTGAGCTCAGCTGCATAAACCAAACACATATTCTAACACTGAACTCTACTATGAATATTCCAACTACCCCCCTCCCCCTAGATACTACCACTAGCATCTAGTCTCCTCAACAAGGACTGCATGGGGTTACTAGTAGCCTTGTTCTGCATGCAGCACACCCCTAGCGTGAGCTTTCGCGTCAACCCTTTAGAGCCCCTGATGGTGAAATGATGATACGGCGAATACTCTGAAGAAAATACCACAAATTTTATCTGTTATTTTTCAGACATTAATTTTACCATGAACACTCTCTCGACGATGCTGCTGCGTGTCCTCAGAGGCCGACGAGTCCCCCAAAGTAGGAGACTGCTCCCTGCTCCTACTGATCACCGATGGGAGCATCATACCGGGCTGACGTGAGCTTGGCATGATCGTTACGAGAAATTATAAAAAAAACCAACAACTCTGTTGGAGTGTTAAGGACCATCAACAGAAAGCCGTACTGTTTAATACGCACTTCGACATGGTTCACAGCGCTAGCACACAAGGGGCCTGCTACTGTGGTGACACAGAGAACTATAACACAATCAGCTGTCACTAGAAACATTACGCCGCAGCAGCAATGGTATGCAATTCTCCTCGAGAGGGCATGTTAAAGACAGGGACCGAAACTGTGAACACTGGGACAGAGCCTATCTGATCTCTCACTGGTAGGAGCACGATGGTCGAAGCAATCATAATTACAACAGCTAAGTCCCGTATTGAATATCCAGTCTATCTTGCCCCTCACATCGACAGTATTTAGCATCGAACAAGCTACTCTTTTTGTCAACATCAGTGTTACTAGTGGAAGGCTACTCTTTCCCATACTCCGCCTCCTCCTAAGCTCTATCGAGAAGCCTAGTCTCAGCGATATACTACTGCATAGCACATGAACGATGATAAGGATATGATCGATGACGAATGACAATACTCTATCTAGGAACTACACCTCTCCATTGCTACAATACTTTTAATACTACCAACACCTTCATTGACGTTCATTCCGCAACCCCAGCCGATTCAACAAAGCTGCTCGCTACAAACACCACAGCTCCTGCAACCGCTGCTGCTGGCCATCACCACCGCACTCTGTATGAGTGTCGAGTTTTATCAACTAAATCTGTGAGGTAGTCCTTTATAAAGACATACAAATGGGAATTCTCGTTATTAACTCGACACTGTAGCGTATCAAACGTTGTTGTAATATAACGGGTTGACTACAGTATATACCTATCCAGGAATTTCCTATGGAAGTCACTTCGGACCGCATCGTTAATGAACCTAACAAGAGACTAGTGTACCCCTCCCCAACACTTTTAATTACCTTTTCTTGCCCTTAGGCTGGTTCCTAGATTGATTCTTGAACACAGTGTCATCATCCCATCTCCGCTTCAATTGCATATTGCCGCCACCTAACACTAAACATTTCCCCTCTAGTAAGACTACCATCTACAGTACGGAAAGCATCTGCGAGAGATAAAGTGTCGAAGTGTCATGTACATACCGTTCCACCCACCACACTATGGGAAGTCGGGAAATGTGTGAAAAGGTTTTTTCCGTCGTAGAATATAAATGGAGTTTCACCCGTTTTACGTGAAGTAGCGTAATACTCAGTGAAAAAAACCGATATTCGCGGTGATATGCAGTGTTTGTAAAATATATTTCCTACTAGTGTTTTTATATCACTAATTAAACTCCATTATACAAGATCACATCTATAGTAAATATTCAATATAATACAAGTTTAAGGATAATGGGTATATACCTTACACAAATATATGGTCATGAATAAATACTCTTTTTTCATGTATAAAATATACACGCGCGAAATTAGAAAGAAACTTCACCTTCCCCAGATGTCACCTTGTAAGAGAGGGTTCCCAACAGCGATCTGTTGCCTCTCCTCTTCCTCCTCCTTAGCCTGTTCAACCGCCGCCGCCTTAGCCTCCTCGGCCGCCCTACAAACAGCACCAAGAATAACCACAAATCGATCACACCAAACATGCACCTCTCCGCGCGGATCTTGGCGAGCTCCCGCATCAACTCAGCCTCCTCCTCATCTTCCTCATCATCACTACCACTCGAGTCTGAACACAACCAATTGGCCACCTAATAGCAGTCCTACCATATCTATACGAGCAAAGACCCACTTATATCAAAGGAGTAGGACCACTACCTCGATCGGCCTCCGACTCTGTCCCCGAGTCCCCTCCACCCGCATCGGGGTCCTCATCACAGTCCTCAGGAAACGCCGAGTCCGGCGGTGGGGGCTCTAATACCAAGATATAGATATTGTGAAGTATAGGGTATGACCTAATGCGCGCTTGACCCCTTTCTCCTTCTTCTCTAGCTCTCTCCGTAACGCTTCTTTGTTGGACCCACCAGTATCTTTTGACTCGCGAAACTTCAACGTGAGGTGACCTGTGCAAACACTTGTTATACAGATAGGAACAAGGCGATAGTACCAGGCTCATCTCGGGCCCTTCTGAAGATGGTAGGGATGGGCTGATTGCTCGAATTGTTAGCTCCAAGAGCATTGTGAAAAGTGGGACGATGAGCTGTAGTCATAGGCACACCAACTGTGAGGCTGAATGATATAGACTTGATAGGAATACGCAACTCTAGAGAATGGTTATTATAATACGATTAATAGTGTCAAAAGTATAGTACAAGTAGCGAGTTAAAAACTATAATCTCAACAGGGGATCCTACTGCTCCCAGCAGCCGTTCGAAGCTTCCCTTGTATAGTAATAATAAGAGGAGTCCTTTCTGTTGAAGACGCCATTGGTAAGTCTGTGCCACTTCCTCGGATGAATGGTCCAGAAAATCGATGCAGTTGATACTACAAAAACTCCAAAGGCAACCCATAGAGCTGTCGAGTTAGTTTGCCACTTATATACACACCACTCAAGGCACCTCATCTTCCCAAAGCACCACGCATTCTCAACACCTATATTATTTCCGGATAGACACGAGGGAGTCCATGCTACCCCAGAGCTGACCCAACGGTTAAACTCCGAGGTTACTCTGGCGTTATCACAAGTGATAGCCCCTATTCTCTGACAGGACGTGTCCAAGCATTCCCCTCCTCCACAAGAGAACCGGTCCCATGTACTATAAAAACCTCTCCTAACCTCGTCAAGAATGTTCTGCTCCCCCACAGTATTCGCAGTACCTCCAGAATCCAACACTGATTCTACCGTCCATACGTAATCCTGTGCCAGAGTTGCTATTATCAATTGCCAAGATACAATAACAATAAGAACAAGGTAGTGGATTCTAGCCGTGCATGCTACATCATCATCATCCTTTTCTAGAACCAACTGTATAGCCCCTGCGAACGAAGCCGAAAGGGCTATGATAGCTATTAGTAGACCAATCCAGTTGATCCTGGGGTTGAGGAGATCATAGAAGGGTGAGGCCAGAGATGAGGCCGCAAATACCAGCAGTACCACACTAGCTGAGCATAGGAACATTTGAGGGGTTACTCGAAGAAGTGTAGAGAAGCCACGGAGAATTCTCGAAGGCATGAGAGTAGCTAAGATAATATGGCTACGAACAGTATGTCCGAACTGGCTTAGGCCGTATGAACACCACAGTCAAAGTTTATGACGAATTATGAAACCTCTCATGATCGTGAGGTTGATCACACCTTATCCACCGCATCGAAGTCCCCTTGACCTATCACCTCGATCTGCTTCTTACCATACCTACACCACCACACCGACGGAAACCCTCGAGTCAGAAGTGCATGATCGTGACGACCCTATGCGCTTGAATCAGACCCCCTCCCTGTACTACGGCATATGATACATCTGAGCTCCCGTTGTAGGCGACCGGCGCTGTATGACCACGCGATGATCGATCTGGTGATGACAGTAGGTGGAAAGGGCGTTTGGCTCTACTACCAGTTCGGTGAGCAATGACTTTAATTTGACATGATTAGAGGCGATAGCCTTCCGCTTTGTGACCTTCAGTAGCGTGTCGAAGTGGACGGTCCCTGTGTTCCGATCGAACTGGTACCAACAAGCAATTGCTATTACCATCGGGCTCCGATGATTCCATCAGCAGAAGAGCCAGATGTTTGAGTAAATTAAGATGATTCGGTGTGAGAGATTTGAGTACCTATAGCACTGCTACAACGAGACTGCACTCCATATGAACCTATATTCCCACCACAGCCAAGCCTGATCCTCCATACACTGTAGAACCCTCTCCAAGACCACCACCGAGCCCTGTCCAAGTCGGTAATACTCTGTCATTGAAAGCCATGACCTTAAGAGAAGAGCTGCCCTTCCGAACGTTGTTATGGTCCCACTTCGCGATTGTAGTCTAGCCTCGTATGCACAGGTATGTTGACGAAAGCGAAAGTCTCCAATATGTTACCCATCAGAGCCGATCGATGATGGTCTACTGAGGCTATCAAGTGAATCTAATAGAGCTCCCTATGAGATAGCAGCCCTTGTGAGTAGGTACCGTGGGCGAGCCTGCCACTATCGTCCCTAAGCACTGTAGGACTTCATCTCCTCCATACTCTACAAGCCGTTCCATATTATCTATAACCTATACAGGGTAGTAGTAGTAACAAAATCCATGCGAGTAAGGGGACCATGTAAGGAGAGGGGGAATGAGGAGGAAACACGGTATGAATATATGGCATATTGATGAAAACGATCACTCCGACTGGGGCACCTATGCCGGACCCAAATATACTCAAAAATGAATAATTACTCCGGGGCAACTATGCCACGTTGAGATATGCTCGAGTACGGCCAATCATTCCGACCGGGGCAACTATGCCACGCCAAGATATGCTCGAGTACGGCCAATCATTCCGACCGGGGCAACTATGCCACGCCAAGATATGCTCAAGTACGGCCAATCATTCCGACCGGGGCAACTATGCCACGCCAAGATATGCTCGAGTACGGCCAATCATTCCGACCGGGGCAACTATGCCACGCCAAGATATGCTCAAGTACGGCCAATCATTCCGACCGGGGCAACTATGCCACGCCAAGATATGCTCGAGTACGGCCAATCATTCCGACCGGGGCAACTATGCCACGCCAAGATATGCTCGGGTACGGCCAATCATTCCGACCGGGGCAACTATGCCACGCCAAGATATGCTCAAGTACGGCCAATCATTCCGACCGGGGCAACTATGCCACGCCAAGATATGCTCGGGTGCGGCCAATCATTCCGACCGGGGCAACTATGCCACGCCAAGATATGCTCAAGTACGGCCAATCATTCCGACCGGGGCAACTATGCCACGCCAAGATACGTCTCAATACAATCTTTTTCACACGTACACGATGTAGGAACATCAGTTTCGACAGAATAAAAGAGTCATTTTCCCTTTTTTCCGAGTTACTCCGTTCGGGGCCGATATGCCATTCCTACAAGTCTACAGCGTTCCCAGGTAAAATAAATTTTCTACCGACAAATTTTGTTTTTTACCCATTCGGTTAATGTTTTACCTTCTTACGTAATATTTTACCCACGGCTTTAATAAAGTCTCAAGAAAATCAATATTATACCCGGTTTATTTGAAAGTTTAGGAGTTCAGTTAAACCTGACCTAGAAATGCCAATTCCATTCAATCTTAGCGATCCATGGTGACCAGGAACACCGTGGAAGTCCCTCAAGCGGAGTTGATTTTATCAGAATCATTTTAGGCCTCGGAAAGGTGTGAATGCATGTAAAGATACGATAGGAAATAGAAGGTTTTATCACCAAGTAGATCCGAGTAGGAGTAGATGAGGTCTTTGCATGGTACTGAGAGAGTTGTGCCTGAGGGAGGAAACAACGGAAGGAGGAGTGAGGATATCCACTATCATGCATAGTACCAATTTTCGTGCAATCTCCAGCAAGGTCGCATCGTTGGCAACGAGAGCATGCCGAAATATGAAATCGAAGATTCCGAGCAGACATCGGTGTAGTATTGAAGCTCCATCTAGGAAGAAGGTAGAGGGCCGTGGATGACGTTGCTACAGGGGTACTACTCATGCCTCGAGGTGATGCCATGTAGCCTTCAATTCGAACAACATACCCATCATCCAACCCTTCATCCGCGAAGTCAGACAAGAGGGGTGTCTTACTACCGTATCTACGCCGAACCGAGTCCCACGTGTATCGCACGTCGATCACAGACCCATAGAAGAGCAAATTGAAGCGGCTGTGTAGAAGGCTCCTCCATGTAGGGTATCTATCTCGCATTGCCTCCACTGCAGATGAACTCATGTCCGTCATGTTGCGATAACAGTTAACCTATAGCAATGAGCTACGCTCGTCAATAATATCCTCCGAAGATCGATGTTCCTGCCCATAATCGTCATTCCCGAGCGTCATTGCGATGCGGCCCTTCCGACTTCCTTCAATGTCCTATTTGGAACCCACACATGACTCTCTTGCACTTTTCATGCATATTCCGATTGCCGCCTGGAGATAGACTGCCGGTCTTTTCTAATGCATTTCTTACCGCGGTTGCTATTGAGTAATAGGAGATATGTCTTCTCTCTAGGTGCACTCGCTAGGTAAGCAGAACTACGTTATCACTCCTAGTATGAATTGCTCCCAGGTCTCAAGTGAAGCCGTCTTTCGACAGGGTTGCCCATACAAGGCAATGGAGAGTTGATTGGTCGGGAAAGTCGCCTTATACTAAGATTCAGGTATCTCTCCACGGCTGGTGGAGGTTGGGGAGATTTACACTTGGCGGCTGCCACCGGGAACCTGGACTTGGTAAAATCCCTACTGGAGCAAGGGTACGACGTCAATGAACGCATTATGGTGAGGATAGTCCCTTCAACGTGATCGGAGTATCATCCTCTTGGCGAACTCTGTATAGTTCATACTCAGTATAGCCGTTCCGATGTGCTACTCGCTGTACCCGGCTTGAGCCGTATCTTGGGGTGTCCCTGCAGGACCGAAGTACGCCACTCCATCTGGCCGCCGCCAATGGCTGGGTACTTGTCATAGAGCATCTCGTAGAGAACGGTGCCTCCCTGAACGCTGTCGATGCGGTAGTACTCCTCTAATCCGTATCGCCGACATTTCTTCACAGAGCGGTCTGACCCCGCTGCAAACGGCATTGAGGAATCGTCAGCAGAAGTGCGTGCAGTCGCTGAGTGGATGGAAAGCTAGATGTGCCAATGTAGGGTCTCACTTTATTATCACTTTGTTGACGGCTCACCAGTCCTTAATATTCCTCTGCAGGCTGATAAGATAACGCCACCGGCCACCTTCAGAGATATGAGTCCTCATGACGACTCGGTACAGTGATACCTCCACATCAATAATCTAAGAATAATTTTTAACAGTTTGGCCGGTCACCTGTTCATCGGGCCGCCTTGTGGCGACGTCCGGACCTTGTCCGTGACTTGCTGAATACCGTTGGATGTGACCCATGCCGTTTTAGCACGTACGATCTTTTACACTGTATCGTTTGGTTAGCAATACTCTTCGGGTGGTTTGAGCCATGCTCTAGGTCCGGCGAGACCGCTGTTCATGTAGCGGCTGAATCCAAGAACGAGGATGTCCTCCGAGAGGTACATGTCTCGACCGAGATCACTCACTCTGATATCCCGTATCAGATTATCAATTTCGTTGGCCCTTCGGCTGCCGATATAGAATACTCCGTGATTATCGAGAAATGCGGTGGTAATTGTTTAGATTGGCTTCGGTAGTCCATGTCGTCATGACATATTCTCGTGAGAGGTTTACGTACTCGTTATGACTGGCAATAAAATGCACGCACGCGCTTGATAAATCGTGTCGTCATAGCATCTGCATTTTTGTGCCGCTATTCCTTTCGCTTATAAGTCCCTAATTGGTGAATCAGTGGCTCGACTCTGAGATTTGATCTTCAGCCTTGGAAGACCTACTCATCCTACGAGACAAAGCGGGCCGTAGTGTGAAGGACATGCCCGGCGCTGCTGACATCCTAGCGGCCATTCTTCGAGGGAGAGCATACGCTCTTGACGTTAAGCGCTTTGTCCGAGCTAAGTATCCACAGCTGTCCCTTCTGAATCCTAACAAAGAACGCATTCCAGTTAACATAAATTGCCGTGATGAGGTGGTGAGAGGGATGACACTGGCGTAACTCGCTTCTGACTTTGACTCATAGTACCTCTCTCTGATCGTGTGACACAAGTGACGGAAACTAGCTTCATTCGGAAGCCGCTCTCTGTCGCTGTCTCATTTTATTCGAGAGCCTTTGTCTGTGTCGTAACTCCGCAAGATGTAAGCGGCATAACAGAACTTTGTACGGCATAGGTGGTGACCTTGTCGCTTACATGACCTCGTTAAGGTTGTGAAAGTCGACAATGGCGCGTTGTGGGTCACATCTATTGCACCGCAATAATTGCAGTGAGATCCAGTGCCTCTAAATTCTCTCTATTCCTCAGTATGGTTATACTGCTCTCCATCACGCTGCAATCCACGGTCGGTCCTCGTGCTGCTCCAATAGACGTAGCTGGCTCAAAATGGACAAGTTACTCCAGTGTGGTGCAGATGTTGATGCGCGTTGTCGGGTGATATTAATGGGGGTACCTCAGCTGCTTCAATGATATAACAGATTCATGGTGCAACTCCTTTGCATTATGTGGCGACCTCTTGCGATGCCTTACCGTTGATGGATATGCTCATTGCTCACGGTGCTAATGTCAATGCCCAGTCTGATGTAAGGACCATAGTCTTCTACCCGGCGTATACATTGCTATTGAAGTCTGCGCGCAGGCATGTGGGGAGACGCCGCTGCACTGGGCGGTAAAGAGCTCTTCGGACGCACACTTTGCGATGGTTAAGGCTCTTATGGCTGCGGGAGCGGACGCGACCATGCAGACGTTCAGACCAACGGGTCAGAGACGAATGATTCTACCCGATATACAGCTGAGGTACTGCATAGCATCACAACCGAAAAGGAGTACCTGGGTGATTCTCAGTGCTGGCAGTACTCCAATTCATTACGCGGTTAGACTACGGAAATTTAATGTATTCGCTCTGGTATGACACGGTTCCGTCCGGCTGTTGTAGCGGATATTTCTCTTCAGATCGTTGATCATGTTAGGCCCAGTGAAGCCGACTGCGACCCTGCAGTGCGAGACGCGAAGTCTCAAGGTGAGCCCTTTGGTCATCAGTTTGCACGTATCTCTTGTTTCCAGCGTTCGAGGAGTTGGTTGCGATCAAAGACTGCGAAGGCCACTCGGTTAACGATCTCCTACGATGAAAGTAATTTCCATTACGGTAACGATTTCGCCTTGAGGAGAATCAACACTACGAATCATAGTGCCATATTCACACCTCGCTAGAGTTAGGCTCTAGCTATAGTGAATAGAGCTCCCAGTCTCTGTAATGGAGAGGTTCTCATTCTCTCCAATTTCTGTCATTATCATGTATAAATCGTGTGACCATTTCTCTGGATTGTTATGATTTCTCATGATGCCGCCCGCAATTCCGCGGCATAACTCGATCCTCCTATGATCCGAAATGACAGTGTGGAGTTGTTTTGGTCACCACAGAGTTATCTGCACATGCCTGTGCACTGATCGACCCTCTGAGGTCATGAGCAGATTACACTCAGCAGCACACTTCATAATGTTCATTACCCATTTGAGGGCATCGCCCTCAGGGCAGTTCGAATTCAAGAAACTACCGCCTATAATACTCATGTCATGAGTATTCACTCTGTTCTTATCATCCTTTTTCTCTGTCAGAGATTTATGTTCCTCTCATATCTTCCATTTGGAAGCACATCCGCTTCTGTTACGTATACCCCAAGCAATACGCGTTCACTGGACGTTCTCTGCCATACCGATCCTAACAATGCTAGGTGAATGTTTTCAGGTGAAACACTAAACTTAATTGTCGCTTTTGTCCAGCATTGAGGAGATTAGATATCCTCAGGGGTCTCTCAATCAGGGGCAGAATCCGTATTTTCGGGAAAAGACAATTTTTCGGAAATTTTCAAACAGGATCTTGCCGTTTTCACATAAATAAAACGGTAAGAAGAATTGCGAGTTGGTACAGCGATCGTCCTCATCATAGTGCTATCTATTTCCGTCCACACGAAGGCTGTCTATGCTACCAGTTGCCAACCAAAGCAATCACTCGGTCCAGTACGCCAGGGGGTGGGCCAGACCATCAGGATGAGTGACTCATCATGAGTCGGTTCGGCGACCCGAATCATGGCATGCCACCCCCCGCGATTGCTGGCATCAATTTGCTGCGGGAGTACGGAGTCCCTTGGAGAGTACTGACTGAGCGCCGTTGATCGGATTTTCTCCCGCAGGATCCTAAACTTCACTTCGTCCAAACTCTGAAGGTGTTGGACCAGTACTGCTTTCTAAAGGAGATTACGTTTCTCTCGTTCTGGAGTTCTGAATGACTATACTCAACGCATATTGGAGTCCATATACAGCATTCGGTTATTCGCATGTTCCACTCAGTGGAATCAACTGGAGCTGACTCGAGGCCCGCTTAAGCTCTCCAAAGATGTCGAGATCATACGATTGTAGCACCCTCGGAACTCGATCTGACATAACGACGCTTATTTACCCTCCACCTAAATTGTACCCCCCAAGGTTAAAGTCTCCGACTTACTCAGCTTTTTCACCCGTGAACTTTCTGCAGCACCCCACCATCATGAACAACCCAGCAGTGGTGAGCAGAAGATTCAGCGTCATCACACCGAATATGGCTGGGAGCCACGGAGATGTTTCCATGCGACTGTTCTCTACTCTGCCAGGCCCCGAGATATGGGGTGAGCTTTCCGTTGGCCTGATCACATCGGGCGGACTTTCCGTTGACGTAGTCACACCGGATGGGCTTTCCGTAGGCCTAATCGACGAAGAACGAATGTCTGGAGTGATCACCACCCAATTTAGTCACGCTCACTTTTCGGTATTCCACTCTTCAGAAAGTGGGTCCTCGAGGTCAATGGAGAGGAAGTCCATGGTAGGCCTAGCAGTAGTCGTTTTCTGCTCAGGTTCCTCGAGCTCCACACCAGCAAAGAAGTCTGGAGTCAGAGGAACGATATCCCCTGTGCTATCTTCTTCAAATTGAAGGTAGATTGCTTCAACCAAGGAGGCTGTGAGCAATCCTAAAATGTTACCAGCTACATAAGCGGTAGTACTGATGCGCATATTGTACTGGGATAAAGTATCAACCTGTCGACAGAAGGCATCAATTCAAGCGATGCAAATGGACTCCGTCCGGAGCGGAAAGTCCTACTAGGACTTTATCCGATAGAAGTACTGCCAATACTTACCGGTATTACTTCTATCCATTGTGCACGGGTGTACATGCGTGCGCAGCTGATCACTCACTCCCCGAATAGACCGAAGCAGAGATAATTACAACTTATTTCATCTTTTACGATCATCCATGATAGTGGAATACCGGAGCGCTCGAGAATTTCGAGTCGAGATGCGCA